TCCATCTTGTGTAAAGGCGTTGCAGCGTTATTATATCGTGGATACATGCCACATATTTTTTGTGATATCCGCCAGGTGGCGTTGTTAACTCTGCCCATTAATAAGCACGCTTTGGTTGCGCGCGACACACGCTAGATGGCTCAGGCGATTGAGACGCGTATTTCTGTCCCGCGGTGTCCAGATTTTTTTTCCCTTCTAGACTACCCCGGGCCGCCGCAGCCAAAGCATACTTACCCAGTGTTGCCAGAAGGTTACTTTTGTAACCTTTTTGGTTACTTTTGAACTGCTGTGGTTACTTTTAGGTTACACTAATGAAAAGGTTACTTTTAGGTGATTTTTCAGATATTGTAGAATTAACTTTACAGGTTATTCAATAAACTTTTTACTTTATTAATAGTGACAATTTAAAAATTATGTCATAAAGTGCATTTAAACTTGAAATTTGATTTATTATTTGTTAAGAAAAATGAGTTTTAGCGAATGTTTTTCGATAATAAAACGCAAATCCATGAAACGTTTTTATACGACTGGTCACTTTTCGTATTTAGATGATCAATTGTATTCATTTTCCATCCATGACCAACCTTACACAATCATCGCTCAGCACCCCCCCCCCCCTATAAAGGTTACTTTTTATTTCAAAAAGGTTACTTTTTTTATATTTCTGGTAATTTCTGACTAGACCCGACTGGCAACACTGTACTTACCTGGCATAGGGGACACCGTGATCATGAAGGCGGTTCCCCCAGGGCGAGGCTGTTCCATTGCACTGCGGAACGGTTGACCCCTGCGATTATCCCTAATGTGGATAACTCGGATGCGTAATTTTTGGTAGTGGGGACTGCGTACGCGCCGTCCCCCCATACTATTTAACATAATGGAATAACGATCATTACTTTCATAAACATTAGGCACAACAAAAATATTATTTGCAAATTAATAATGTAGAATTGTAGAATAACGTCTACCGCTACATAATTATTTTAATCCACAGTCAGACTAGCTATAAATTTAACAAAATATCAGTTTTATCGGAATTAATTAATTTTTGAATCGAGTCACACGATATCATTCGATGACTTTGCGAATGCAGTACGATGATACGATTACTTTTACGTTGCGGCAATCACTAAAATTCGCTAAAATGACACTAATGACGTTTAAAAAGTGGCACGCTCGGCTTCATACAAATTTTGACACATGCTGCATCTATCCTTATCTGTGTTATAATCCGAATAATAAACAATCGAGCTCCATCTTGTGTAAAGGCGTTGCAGCGTTATTATATCGTGGATACATGCCACATATTTTTTGTGATATCCGCCAGGTGGCGTTGTTAACTCTGCCCATTAATAAGCACGCTTTGGTTGCGCGCGACACACGCTAGATGGCTCAGGCGATTGAGACGCGTATTTCTGTCCCGCGGTGTCCAGATTTTTTTTCCCTTCTAGACTACCCCGGGCCGCCGCAGCCAAAGCATACTTACCCAGTGTTGCCAGAAGGTTACTTTTGTAACCTTTTTGGTTACTTTTGAACTGCTGTGGTTACTTTTAGGTTACACTAATGAAAAGGTTACTTTTAGGTGATTTTTCAGATATTGTAGAATTAACTTTACAGGTTATTCAATAAACTTTTTACTTTATTAATAGTGACAATTTAAAAATTATGTCATAAAGTGCATTTAAACTTGAAATTTGATTTATTATTTGTTAAGAAAAATGAGTTTTAGCGAATGTTTTTCGATAATAAAACGCAAATCCATGAAACGTTTTTATACGACTGGTCACTTTTCGTATTTAGATGATCAATTGTATTCATTTTCCATCCATGACCAACCTTACACAATCATCGCTCAGCACCCCCCCCCCCGTATAAAGGTTACTTTTTATTTCAAAAAGGTTACTTTTTTTATATTTCTGGTAATTTCTGACTAGACCCGACTGGCAACACTGTACTTACCTGGCATAGGGGACACCGTGATCATGAAGGCGGTTCCCCCAGGGCGAGGCTGTTCCATTGCACTGCGGAACGGTTGACCCCTGCGATTATCCCTAATGTGGATAACTCGGATGCGTAATTTTTGGTAGTGGGGACTGCGTACGCGCCGTCCCCCCCGGAATCCTTTGAACGTACTGACTAGTTAGAAAGATACTCTAGTCTAGCTAGATCTAGCCCAAATCAATATCGATCGACTAACGCCGCGTGGATACGAAAACTTGACCCTGTTATGTCCGTTTCATTATAAACCAAAATAGAGTATTCCATTGCGATCACTATCGTGTAGTACAAAGTACCTATACTAAAAATAATTTGTTATTTTACTTATGACATCACATCGTCACGTCAACAACTCGCAAGACCATTACGGTTGGGCGCATATACCTATTTATTTCAAACTAGAAATTTTTGACTGAACTACCCAAGTAGAGGCGGCCAATCTATAGCATAGCATCTTTTAAATATAATTTTACTATCTTTCCGCCCGCGGTTTCGCCCTTGTGGAATTTTGTCTGTCACAGAAAAACTTTGTCGCGCGCGTCGCTGTATCAAAAACCGGGATAAAAACTATCCTATGTCGTTTCCCGGGACTAAAACTATCTACTATGCCAAATTTCATCAAAATCGGTTCAGTGGATTAGGCGTGAAAGAAAGACAGACAGAGTTACTTTCGTATTTATAATATTATAGTATAGAAGTATAGATTTCTAAGTTACTAGACATTTTTGACAAGACTGACTTTGAACTACCCAAGTAGAGGCAGCCGATCTGTAGCATTATAATAATCATTTTTAAAGACACATAAGATACATTTAAACTGAGGAAACTTTTCTGATTTCATGTAATATTTGTGTGATTATTTGTCTGTGTATTAAAATTGTTTGTTTCCCTAATATAAATCAATGTATACTAATACTAATATAATAAAGCTGAAGAGTTTGTTTGTTTGTTTACTTGAACGCGCTAATCTCAGGAACTACTGGTCCGATTTGAAAAATTCTTTCAGTGTTAGATAACCCATTTATCGAGGAAGGCTTTAGGCTATATTACCTGATGGTAATATAGCCTAAAGTATCCTTTAGTAGCCGTAGCTTGATCGCTACGAGTAAAAGGAGCAGAGCAACAATGAAAAATGTTGTGAAAATGGGTTTTCACGCGTACGAAGTCGCGGGCACAGCTAGTAATTAACCTTTAACCAGTGACATGACAATTTTATAACACTATAAGGGACATGACGTCTCACAGGCTACTACTTCGAAATCAAAAAAATTACAAAATTGCATGTGGATTATTTAAAATTGTGTTTGTATTTAACTATTAATATGTCAATAAGACAAATGGAAATAAATTCAATTTTTTTTTTATAATTACATAGAAAAAAAACTATAATTACCAATTAGTGGTAATTTTTAGCCTCAATTGACATGAGGTCCTTTTTTAGCATTTTAATGGACTTTATATAAATTTTATGTCAAATTTAATACCTTTTCCTTAAAATCTAATAATATAGATACCGAAAAAACATAAAAGCCACTTCTGAAAACTAAAAATAAAAATTCTGACACCCGCTCAATTTGGCATAAAATTAATGGCATTTTTTGCACAAAAGGCGAGAACATTGCAAACATATGGAATTGCAACACCCCGACACTCGTGTACTGTGGCGGCGTAGCATAGGTTGGCACCTGGGGCGACCCCCTCCCCCCTCCCCACCCCTCATAAGACCATAAGTTGGGTGTTCATATTGAGGGGGGCTAAGGTACCCCATAATGATTTGGTGTCTCCCAGAATTTTCGGGTTACCGATTTGAAGACGAAAGATGTTAGTACTAAGTCATGAGCTATATGATGACACGAATCGCACGCACCCCCTTATCATGACATATCAGATGCGACGTCCTTGTCATGCAGATGCACCTGTGGGTACTAATCTGCGCGACTGAGTTGTCACTCCGTTGTCACCCCCTGATGCTTGGCACCCGGGGCGGACCCACCCCCCCCTTTCGCCCCTCCCCCCACTGTCCGCTGTGTACACTGTCATTCTGTGTAGTTTAGGCAGACAAATACTGCATGCCCTTCGCTTGGCTTGACTTGTTTCAGGATGGAACAGACGGTCCATCGTTTGAACCTTGACGAGGTCCAAAAGGTTCAAACGATGGACGAACTGTTCATAATAATTTATTCTTTGATGAATTCGTGGGCTGAAGTTATCGTTTCCTATTCTTTTCTGCCATTTTGCACTAAAAATAAAAAATAGAGTGTAAAAGTTTTTGTATGTCAACTAGGGACATGTAGCCTCACAGGCTACGATCGATTTTCTAATTCGTATAACTTACGTGCAAAACAACCGATAATACGTCTGCCTTCTTCAGTGGTCGTTTTAGCTCTAAAACAAAAGCTACTAAGACGCTGGGTCGCGGCAAGCGAGGGGAAGTGGTCAATTCTAATAATTTGAAAACCATGCGACGCCTGTGAGACTACGTGTCACTGGTTAAAGGTTAAATAAAATGGTACAGTCGCGGAATGAAAAGGTTCGTCATCTTAGTGTCGGTTTTCGCTTGCACTAGGTACTGTAAGAATCAAACCTGCCAACATAACAGTGCAAGAAACAGTGCTGCTAACATTTAAATAAATATGACGTTTGCTAACGAATAAGGTTTTGCTTGTTTATTTTTCTATCACATCCAGTGCAATGCAATGATGACATTGACCAATTGACAATAGGTTTTTTTTTATTTAATATAAATAATAATGGCAGGTTGAACCAAGAAGAAGGTTTTAGTTTATCAATCATAATAATCTTCTTGACAAGATGAATCGTCAAACAACTTTGATCTGAATAATTTTGAACTTTACTGACGAACAGTTAAAGATTATTTTCTTTAACTCGAGATTATTCTGTAACATAGTTTCAAAAGGTAATATGTGCTCGCGATTCGTTGAAGGAATCAATTTTAAAACTGACGAACCTTTTCATTCCGTGACTGTACATAAGCAGCTCACCTTGTTAGCAGTATAATCCCGCAGGTCGCCCAGCAAGTAGGCACGGCCCGGGCCGGAGCCGTCCCCGCGTAGCACCGCGGCGCGCGCGCTTGTTCGTAACAGCTGCGTCAGAACCATTATCACCAACTGCGAACAAAATCCTACTAATATTATAAATGCGAAAGTTTGGATGTCATGATGTCTGGATGTTTGGATGTCTGGATGTTTGTTACTCTTTCACGCAAAACTACTGAACGGATTTTGTTGAAACTTTACAGTATTACTGTTTATAACCCAGATTAACATATAGGCTATAATTTATGACGATCTGTGACAAATTAAATTTCACGCGGGTGAAACCGCGGGCAAAAGCTAGTAGGGTATATAGTTCCAAAATACTGAACTGTCCTATCCACAGAGCATGGAATCGGCGCGCGACGATTCCATGCTCTGTGGTCCTATCCATGACATTGACAGTGGGGCGCCACCGTCAATACCGGATCGCTGGTTCCGATTTTTGCCATGTTGGAAACCATATAGTTGAACGATGGTAGCGCCCCCCTGTCATTGAGTTTGGTGAGACAGTTCAGCGTGGGTCATCTATAGTGTATTTTTGAAGCTGTCAAAATACGACAGCTTGAGGTTGGAACTCGTTGCCAGGGCCTTTTGAAACAAAAATGAATGTTCTCGAACGAACTGGAAAACTTAAATGAGGGCACCCTCACCCACTCGGACTGACAATCGGTAGTTGTGAGAGTCCTTGCGGGAGATTTTTGTTCAAGTGCAGAAGACTTTTGGTTGGTTGAAGGGTGGCAGTCTATAAAATGAAATGCTTCTTCTGTTGTTCGAATAGTAAGAGCGTTTTCGCACTACGTCTGATCCAAATCCAATCCAGTCCGCTGTAACGAGTGACGTCTACACCTACCTGCAGCAGCAGTACAGGCGTGTTGCAGTCGCTCTGTACTCCCGACCAGGACTCCTGTCTACTAACCTGTGTACTATAATGGGTGTCTGATAAAATAAACAATTTTATTATTATTTATTATTATAACCTGCAGTAGCAGCACCAGCGTGTTGAAGCAGTGAAGCGCCAGCAGCGCTTTAGTGAGAGGCCCGCGCACCGCTTCCACGCAACCCCGCGCGTGCAACGAAGCGGGCAGAAGCGGTGAGTCGCGCCAGATCTCGCGGCATTCACTCTGTGCTCCCGACCAGGACTCTGTCTACTGACCTGCAGCAGCAGTACAAGCGTGTTGAAGCAGTGCAGCGCTAGAAGCGCTTTAGTGAGCGGCCCGCGCACCGCCTCCACATAACCCCGCGCGTGAAGCGAAGCGGCGAGTCGCGCTAGATCTCGCGGCACTCGCTCTGTGCTCCCGACCAGGACTCCTGTCTACTGACCTGTAGCAGTAGTACAAGCGTGTTGAAGCAGTGCAGCGCTAGAAGCGCTTTAGTGAGCGGCCCGTGCACCGCCTCCACGCAACCCCGCGCGTGCAACGAAGCGGGAAGAAGCGGCGAGTCGCGCCAGATCTCGCGGCACTCGCTCTGTGCTCCCGATCACGTCCCTTGTCTACTGACCTGCAGCAGCAGCACCAGCGTGTTGAAGCAGTGAAGCGCCAGCAGCGCTTTAGTGAGCGGCCCGCGCACCGCCTCCACGCAACCCCGCACGTGAAGCGAAGCGGGCAGAAGCGGCGAGTCGCGGCACTCGCTCTGTGCTCCCGATCACGTCCCTTGTCTACTGACCTGCAGCAGCAGCACCAGCGTGTTGAAGCAGTGAAGCGCCAGCAGCGCTTTAGTGAGCGGCCCGCGCACCGCCTCCACGCAACCCCGCGCGTGAAGCGAAGCGGGAAGCAGCGGCGAGTCGCGCCAGATCTCGCGACATTCACTCTGTACTCCCGACCAAGACTCCTGTCTACTGACCTGCAGTAGCAGCACCAGCGTGTTGAAGCAGTGCAGCGCTAGAAGCGCTTTAGTGAGCGGCCCGCGCACCGCCTCCACGCAACCCCGCGCGTGAAGCGAAGCGGGCAGAAGCGGCGAGTCGCGCCAGATCTCGCGGCATTCACTCTGAAAAAACACACAAGATCGGTCGTTGAAAAATCTTGGAGGATCTCTTTGAAGATTTTCTTTGAAACGAGATGAATACTGAATGGGAGGTGCCTGGATGCGAGCGGCGCAGGACCGGTTTTTGTGGAAATCCTTGGGGGAGGCCTTTGTCCAGCAGTGGACGTCTTTCGACTGAAACGAACGAGATGGATACTGAATAGCTTCCATTGCTGTAGAAGTCATCTCATCTTGGGCACTGCTCTAAGGCCTCATACAAAGAGACAAAATGCTTTGCGTCACGTGTCGTAAACAGCTTTATTTGCAGTGGACAAAGCTATGGGAAAAAAGTTTTATCGCAATAAAAGTAAAAAATGTAAAAAAAATGTAACCTAGAGAGCTCACAAAATACAAAGAAACTAATAATGTAATTAGATGGTAATAATAATTATTCTGCGTTTACCTGCTGCAAGGGGTCGTGGTAGCAGGCTGCGAGCACCCTCGGAGTGCAACACGAGTACGGGGACACTGGAGGCAACACCTTGCCATCGGCGCCTGCTAACCTAAGGCACAGACAAATCACAATACTGTACAGCGCAATAAATTCACCGTGTACCGGAAAACGCAGCGTGGAACCTCCACCCACAAGGACCGACGACATCGTAAAGGTAGCAGGAAAGCGCCGCTACTAACCGCGCAACATGGAAAGCATTGGGAGAAGCCTATGTTTAGCAGTGGACGTCCTACCCAAGTAACATTTTACTCCATTTAAGAGTTCAATAGTCGTTCACATGTACTCCACAAGCTGTGTATGTCAGCTGTATACGAGCTGTATAGCTTGCTATAATGCTTTTATAGAACCAGTTTGGGCACAAATTAGACAGCTTTAAGTTCACTATGGCTGTACATTAGCAGTATAATAGCATTATAATAGCAGTTTAAGTAGTAACATCGTACTTAAGGCTGACTTACGGCACTAAAGGGGACGCAGTGTGAACCATACAACGTACGTGAGGACAATAAAGAGTAACAAGTGGCTAAATGCACAGCTTTCAAAGTTATAAAGTCCGACAAAAGTACTCCAATGCTACATAAAGTTCACGTGTGTCCTAAATTATTTCCACATTTTAATATTAGTTTGGTATTTGTACGTGAGTGCCAAGAGGAAACAACTCGGGCGGATAATATAATCATTTATGCAAATAATAACACGGGTTTTAAATACTTAATAATGTTAATGCCATTGGGAATGCAACTTTATCGTGAAATGTATACATATTTACAGCTAAAATATTTACGCGCCTCTGTAAAAACGCGATATTCATTTTAAAATATTTAAAACTGGCTGAGAGGAAATCTACAATTTTCAGTTTTTGATATTGTATTGGCATTATAATTATACTACGGTAATTAATTATAACATGAAACCAAAACTCAATCGCTCTATCTGCGAATTTTGTGATAAATCTGCATTAATTTTGGAGATTTATTTGGTAAATATTTTAGGTTATGTAGAACAAAATGGTGGAAATGAAATACGGCTATGTGAACTGTTATAACTCCAATTTAATGCGGTGAGCGTATATTAGGTTCACATGTGTTCTGTTAGAATGCTGTTATCTATATTAAGTTCCACATTTGTACCACTACAGCGCTAATGTCTATAAATTTATTCTAATGTGAACTTATGTACAGCTTTAAGATGTACCTAGTTCAGGTCAATTGTGTATCTTTAATTCTTTCAAATACTGAAATTTTAGAGATCCGCAATAAAAATTATTAATGTCCGTTAAATCGCCTAGCCCAGGTACTAATAGTCAAGTATGAATACCTAAAGCATCAGACGGTAGTGTTCCCGGTTTAAATTCGTTTATTATGCCTGACAATTTATTCAAAGCGGAATGAGGAATACGATTTTCAATAGCCCATGTTCTTATTTTTTTGCTAAAGGTTAAATAATTGTCTAAATCAAAATTGTATTCACTATCACTAGAACTGCAATCATCACACTCTGATATCTGTATATTTTGAAGGGAACTTTCAGGTTCAGGCATAATATTTTCCTCTGCATCATGTACAGAACCACCATAAATACAACTAAAAACAGGCTTGGGGAAAAGTGTAATAGAATATCACATTCACATTCATTTTCAGCTTAAAGCAAATAAGAGTAGTACTTGTGGACAAATAAACTGCTATTGATGTTAATGGACAACACATATAGTCCTTTTAACAGCCTACAGTGCACATGCGAACCATTGAAACACTTTTGTACAGATAGTAAAAAAAGGTTATTTTATTAACACAAACAAGTCCTACTACAGCTACTAGCTGTATAACAGTCTAAAACAAGTAAACATAACAGCCTTTGGCTTTATAAATGACCACGTGTGTTCTATTAAAATGCTAGCTCTATAACATCATACAAGTAGGCCGTTAAACAGCGGTTGCCGTATCTCTACCCTCCTATAATGCTCTTAGTCAGATGGCTGACTAAAGAATAGTTGTTAGAGTATTATAACACCAACAATCGTATAAAAGTATAACTCTACACTAGTCTACACTCCTATAAGTCCCTTAGACAGGTATAGGTGTAATTAATTGCAATAATACAGCTTATACATCACGAGTGAACTGTACTAATGCTTTAAGTACACATTGGAACTAAATGTGAACTCTTAAATGGAGTAAAATGTTACTTGGGTACGGCTGAGATGATGATGATGATGACAATAAATTCTTAACTAGTCCTAAATAACGTACATGTTTCTAGTATACCAGATCCAATAACGTTCTTGTAGCGATAAGTCTCTACTTTGGGAAGAAAAATTCGTTTTCCGACCATACAGGTCCGTAAGATTCACAAAATAGTGGCCTACCTAATATACGAGTATTTCCCTTACCCCATTTATAAACGTTTTAAGCAGGTTAAAAGAAAAGTGTTTCACGATATTTAGACCCATTACAGATAGATACATACCTCATAACTAAATCAGAGTCCTCATTGAGGAAGTCCATGTTGATCCACGGGATTTCGTGCCAGTCACTTGGCTTTTCCACGCCACAGCAGCTTAATTCCACCTGAATAATAGAGCCCCAATCAATAATTTATGTCCAAGAAAAAAATAATCTACCACTTTTTTGTCTTCGATGCTACACTAACCTGCATGGTATCCATCAATCGTTTCCAAGTCGGTTCAGTTAGATACTGCGATATGCCGATCCTTAGCGAAGACGACAACTCCTTCATTAGTGCCTACGAACCAAAAAACAGTAAACTGATGAAGGTAGTCGCACAAAACAATCGACATCTTTTTTATATATTTTTTTTTTTTGCTTTATGCTACAGATGTTCTGTCAATTAGGCTACAGATAATGTTCAGTCAATTTGTCTTATGTGGGATAACGGAACGCACTGCCTCAAAGAAGTCAATTTGTGACAGATTTTAAGAGTTAAACGTATTTTTTATGACACATCAGAGCAATGTTAATATAAAGAGAGAACCACAAAATATCTCACCGTCAAAGTGCCTCTGCAAGCTCCATACACCAACATGCCATTGAATGCGACGATGGTTCCACTAGCCAGCCAGATCCTGCTGGCCAAAGTAGCCCTGGACCAGTGCGGGCACTGCAGCAGCAGAGTGATGAGACGGAGCCCACTCGTGTAGTGGAGTTTCATGCAGTACGCTTGCAGCAAGATCAGTCCGTAGAGTAAGTATACCGTCAACTAGATAGGGATAAAATAGAGGGTAAGAGAAGATTGGGCGATTGTTCATCGGAGAAGCTCTATGTGGTGCAATAGCTACATTTGGGAAGTGTGCAAAGTTCTCTGAAAAGGCCTACATACAAAGAACTTGTAATATTAGCCTACAGATGACTAATTAGTACTCAACATGACCTTCCTTTCTTAATCAGGGTTTGGATTAATGTTAATGTAATGGTGCGTCCACATTGGGCGAACGGGCTCGCGCGGCACGCTGGTCATCCTGATCTTGCGTGAGCAGGATGTCGAGTTTGCCGCGCGAGCAGGTTCGCCCAGTGTGGACGCACCATTACGAAGCAAGATCCATTATGAGACGCACAGTAGACAATGACCATAATACAGCGGCAGTTGTGGGGTCGCGAGCTTCCCACCGACACTGCCTGGCTCCTGCTATCCGTACTGATCTATCTGTAATATCTCCTTGGACAAGTTACCTTGTGCACGTGTTTCAGCAGCAGCATAACCCTCAGCGACGTGTTGGAGCAGAAGATGACCATGCAACGCGAGACCACCAACTAGCTGATCAGTGGCACTGCCACCTGTCTCTGCCTGTCCTCCTTACTGAGTCTGTATCAAGTAAGAAGTCTCAGACCTTACCTTGTGCACGTGCTTCAGAAGCAGCATGACCCTCAGCGAGGTGTTGTAGCAGAAGATGACCATGCACAGCGAGACCACCAACTAGCTGATCAGTGGCACTGCCAACTGTCTCTGCCTGTCCTCCTTACTGAGTCTGTATCAAGTAAGAAGTCTTAGACCTTACCTTGTGCACGTGCTTCAGAAGCAGCATGACCCTCAGCGACGTGTTGTAGCAGAAGATGACCATGCACAGTGAGACCACGAGCTGTGCGATCAGCAGCCCGCGCAGCACCGCCGCCAGTTGCTGCCTGCCATCCTTACTGACTCCTCGTTACCAAGGGGTCACGGTCGTTACCTTGTGCACGTGTTTCAGCAGCAGCATGACTGCATGACCCTCAGCGACGTGTTGTAGCAGAAGATGATCATGCACAGCGAGACCAACTAGCTGATCAGTGGCACTGCCACCTGTCTCTGCCTGTCCTCCTTACTGAGTCTGTATCAAGTAAGAAGTCTCAGACCTTACCTTGTGCACGTGCTTCAGGAGCAGCATGACCCTCAGCGACGTGTTGTAGCAGAAGATGATCATGCACAGCGAGACCAACTAGCTGATCAGTGGCACTGCCACCTGTCTCTGCCTGTCCTCCTTACTGAGTCTGTATCAAGTAAGAAGTCTCAGACCTTACCTTGTGCACGTGCTTCAGGAGCAGCATGACCCTCAGCGACGTGTTGTAGCAGAAGATGATCATGCACAGCGAGACCAACTAGCTGATCAGTGGCACTGCCACCTGTCTCTGCCTGTCCTCCTTACTGAGTCTGTATCAAGTAAGAAGTCTCAGACCTTACCTTGTGCACGTGCTTCAGGAGCAGCATGACCCTCAGCGACGTGTTGTAGCAGAAGATGATCATGCACAGCGAGACCAACTAGCTGATCAGTGGCACTGCCACCTGTCTCTGCCTGTCCTCCTTACTGAGTCTGTATCAAGTAAGAAGTCTCAGACCTTACCTTGTGCACGTGCTTCAGGAGCAGCATGACCCTCAGCGACGTGTTGTAGCAGAAGATGATCATGCACAGCGAGACCAACTAGCTGATCAGTGGCACTGCCACCTGTCTCTGCCTGTCCTCCTTACTGAGTCTGTATCAAGTAAGAAGTCTCAGACCTTACCTTGTGCACGTGCTTCAGGAGCAGCATGACCCTCAGCGACGTGTTGTAGCAGAAGATGATCATGCACAGCGAGACCAACTAGCTGATCAGTGGCACTGCCACCTGTCTCTGCCTGTCCTCCTTACTGAGTCTGTATCAAGTAAGAAGTCTTAGACCTTACCTTGTGCACGTGCTTCAGAAGCAGCATGACCCTCAGCGAGGTGTTGTAGCAGAAGATGACCATGCACAGTGAGACCACGAGCTGTGCGATCAGCAGCCCTCGCAGCACCGCCGCCAGTTGCTGCCTGCCATCCTTACTGAACGCGAACACGCCCCACGCCATGGACCGACATCCTTTGAGGGCATGCTAGCTGCCTTCCTGCACAGAGAACAGAACGACCAAAGCGCATCAAGCATCTTCATAAACAATGAGGGTAGGTAGAGGAGCTTGTGGACAACTCAAGCTAGAAAAAAGGTTGTTAACTGAAAAGATTTGGAAATATGTGTCCTACCTTACCCCCAGCGGAATTTGAAACCGCAAACGCAACTTGCGTAAACAGAATGGATGGTCTTTAATGTACACCTGTGTAGGCTGTGTACAGCACCCAAAATTTTCAATCAGTGGAAACAACAAGTTGGAAGGTGCACACAATGTATATCGCTAGAAAGCAATCAACTCGAAGAACATTTACATAAAATAAAATGGAGAAAGGCGGTGAAGACTCTCAAATAAATTAATTAAAAATAATTAATAAAACACAACTTACCTTACATTACAATAACCCCACTGGAAAACGTAATCAAAACACAAATGACAACGTCAAGTCTACATTGTCAAAACGACGCGGGTATCTATTTTTTAAAATAACTTGAAAAAGTTCCCAATGCATGTTTTAGATTCCCAAACATTCCCAAAGTTGTGGTTGCTACGCGACGTTAAATCAAGATTTAACAAAACAGTCGTCAGTACAAAAAAACACCTGCTTTAACACAGATATTTAATTTACTTGTGGCTGATTTTACAAAATATTTTTGTTATTTTAAAGAAACTCTTTTGTGAATTGTATTTAAAAGAGTAAAGTGTTAAACAAATGTCACGTCAGTCTTTTGTTTTCCTTTGATAGGAAAACATTGGCTGTTATTTGTTGAAATATTTTAATTTAATTATCTTTGTCGTAGAAGTTAATTAAGCATTAATTCAGTGTTAAGTGCGTGTTAGTTAGTGCCGCCAATATGGCGGAAGGCGGTGCAAAAAAGAGGGCCAAAGTCGCTTGGAGCGATGACCTGAGTCATGATTCAGAGGAAGAACGAGGTAATTTCTGACGTTTAAACATTGTAGACAGTATCAAAGGAAAGTAAAAGTTAGAAGTAATCAACTTCTTCCCATTGCTTCTTCCCGCCTTAAAACGTTAGCGAACAACGTTAACTCCTCGACTAATTTATTTATTTACTAGCTTTCCGCCCGCGGCTTCGCCCGCGTGGAATTTTGTCTGTCACAGAAAAACTTTATCGCGCGCGTCCCTGTTTCAAAAACCGGGATAAAAACTATCCTATGTTCTTTCTCGGGACTCAAACTATCTCTATGCCAAATTTCATCAAAATCGGTTGCGAGGTTTAAGCGGGAAAGCGTAACAGACAGACAGACAGACAGACAGACAGACAGACAGACAGACAGACAGAGTTACTTTCGCATTTATAATATTAGTTGGGATTAGTTGGGATTTATTACTATTTCCCCACAGAACGGGAACGTCTAGCCCAACTCGAGCGGGAGCTCGCCGAGACCCCTGTCAAACCCACATACTCGCCCGAAGAGCTAGAGAAGCTGGTCGGCTTCATCATGAGGATGACCACTCTCTACGATCTCCGCGACGAGGACTGGAACGACGAGGCCAAGCAAGGCATCGAGGACTGGCTGATGGAGCCGCGAGCCCTCATCCTCTCAGTATACTTCAGAGGCGACAAACTCAAAGCCACCAGCGACATCCCTCTCACCCCAGTCTTTGACTTGACATACTTCATCAGGGCGCCCGATTTCATCTTCAAGATAGAATCGTTCCACGACGATATTATTTTCGGCACATTCGTGGATTCTGTTGAATCCAACATTATACAGATATTGGAGTTCGTTTATGCTCCTTACTTCTTTGCTATCACTTCTTGGCCAGACAGTAAGTAACTATCAATCATCAACCAATGAAATTGCATAATCTCACCATAAAGTCTTAACCATCATGATCAAAATTTCAGGTGTGAAAAGTGAATTCTGCTCCCATATTCACACATTCCTCGCTAAACTAACCGACATGTATTACAAAATGTTGGGTTTGACTGTCCTCTACATACCGCGAGAAGGGCAGCAGCTGACATTCGAAAAGGCCAGTGCTGATCGTGAGCTGGTGAAGAGATTAGAAGGTGTAGTGGTCTACTGGACACACCAGATTAAATCCTGTCTGGAAGATCAAGCGTTCGTCGCTTCACAGGACGAATTACTGTGTCCCAGCGATGAATATGACTTTTGGATTTACAGACGTCAGTTATTACCTATTAATACTTCATTAATAGCGGTTTCCATGGCGTGTTCTAATAATAACTACGTTTACAGATGAAAACTTGAGCGCATTGCGTCATCAACTAAAGAACCCGGCTGTAAGGCACATAACCAAAATTCTTGTCACCACACATTCAACTTTTATCCACCAGTTTCAATCTCTATGCGATGAAATAATTCAAAAGGTCAACGAAGCCACTTCCAACATTGAATTCCTTCAAGTGATAAAGCAACCTTGTGCTATTCTGGAATGCGTAGTCGATCCTGACGAAATTGCTAAACATATCCCACAAATTATCAATCTGTTTAGATTTATATGGATGGAATCGCCTTACTATAATTCTGAGGCCCGCATTACAAACCTTTTTAAGGCGTTGAGCAACCAGATCATTATCCTCTGCAGAACATACATAAAGCTGGATGAGCTTTTCGATGGCGAGACGAAGAAAGCATTGGGAGAGTTCAGTAAATGTATCGATTGCTGCAAGAAATATCGAGAGATCTATGACGTCATGGCCGAAGCTCACAACGATATTAATCCGGGCAGTTGGGAATTAGATACTGGGTCGATCTTCAATTACATAGATTCGTTTGTGCAGCGATGTTTCGATATGCTGGATGTATGTAATTGCATGATCATATTTGGGCGGTGAGTTTGCTCAAGTTTTCTTAAAATATTCGTTTCTCAAGACCCTTTCATTTCGAAATTTTTGTTCTTGCAGCATTGATGAGCTGGAGAACATAAACAAGCCGATGTTTGGGGGCGCTCGCGGTGACCAATTTGAAGCAAAGTGCGACCAGATTGAGCACATGTTTTATGACGCTTTGGAAAACGTCAAGAGCGTGGCCTCCACGATTCTGGATGTCCAGGCACCTTCGTGGTATGACGACGTGTTGCAGTTCAGAACCGTTGTAAAGGATATTGAGGTAAATCTTAAGTACAAAGGATAAAAAAGAAATAGAAACACATAACCACATTGAATACATGCCTGAAATTTAACTTTTACAGACAATAATAGAGAACCTTGTGGAATCGGTCTTTGAAGGAGTAAATCACGTGGAAGAAGCCGTCATTGCTTTATACTCCTTGAGCAATTACTCCAAGAGAAAGAACTTGAAGCGCATTTTCAAAAGAAAGACAGCTGAGGTTTGTTAAAGTAACCTACTAAAATAAACCTCTTTGCTAATTTGAGAAACTTTACGACGATACACAAGTTCAGGTTGATTGAAATACAAAATCCAAACACACTTTGTTTTAGGTCTGGGCAATGTTCAGCGACGAAGTGCAAGAGGCCAAAAAGGACATGGTATCCACACGCAGTCAACACCCAGCTGATCTGCCTTCCTTTTCGGGAAGAGCCGTAGTACTACGAATGAGGAAGAACAGGCTGGTGTATTTGAAGAAGGTAAGATTTTATGATTCATTCTGCTTCTGAATCTTGGACCGACCATTGGACTGATAAAACCATCCCTGCTTGTATCATATTAGCAAAGTCACTTTACCGCATACAGAAGTGGATTTATGCTCGTTTTCACCACCAATCCCTAATTTACAAGTGACCCCATTTACAACAAAATTTCTATTATGTATTTTTTAACATAGGGGTCACTTAAAAATTAGGGATTGATGGTGATAACGGGCATGAATCTTGTAAAAAAGTAAAGTTCGCCCCTAATTTCCAATTCTATTCTCTAGATAATGACTGATGCATCAGTATGGTTGCTGCCGTGCAGCAATTCTGAGGATGTGATTATGCACGTCAACAGACTTATGGGAGCCATAGACGTCGCTATAAGAGAACTGTGGATTTCATGGACGGTAAATACCCATTCCAGGGATTGGTATTTCCTTATTTAGTAGGCTAGTAACATTTTATTTCTTTTTACAATCAGCATAACTTGGACGAAAAATGTGGAGCAGGACTCAATAGAACACTGATGAGAAAAAGCGTCGAGAACCCTGGGTTGATGGAATGCAACATAGATGTGTAAGGAAAATCAAAGAACATAATATTAAATGCATGTAATGCTTTGGCCAATGATAATTCTAATTCACATAATGATGATTCTAGGAACATACTAGAACTAGGAAAGGAAGCAGCTCATTGGGAAAATCTAGGACTTGATATTCCTATGCATGCCTACGCGGTAAATAATTTCATGCTGATTAAATAACTCTTCGATAAAGATTCAGTAGAATTAGTTATAAAAATTCACCATTATCTTTGAAACAGGTTTACGCAAAAATGAAGACTGTGCTTTATGTGTATGAAAGCGTATTAGCTGTTGTTAAAGGATATAACAAGATTCTGGACTCGCTTTCAGACGAAGAGCGGTTGTTATTCAAGCCTCTGACAACGGTAAGTTTTTATTTACATGAGGTACAAAATAAATTGGCATCTGATTTGATTAAGTACCTATTCCGTCAATGAAAATAATTGATTAGCTTCTATAGTTATATGTTGAAACCAGGACAGGTAAAATTAAAGCTTGAAGAAACATATTAAAAATATTCTCATTTTTATTCTAATATCACAATGCAGAATCATAACATAATTAACCATCAAAATTAAACTAATATTATAATTAAAATTATCATAATCAGTCATAATCAATCCTAATAAACAATAATAAGATACAAATTATTATCACTAATTAAAAAGATAGAAAGAAGGAAAGAAGACATATTGAAAAGAGTACTAGGTAGTAGCAAAAATTATATCTTTAGCCTTCCGCTCAACTTAAACAACTGTCCAAATGACTATTCATGTCGGCCGATTCAATCATTTCTAAGCAACATGGACACGGTGTTTTTGTTCCTGTGGCATTAAAGGTCTGAGTCTCATCGAACATATCATCTTCATCATCATCAATCACTATTGTGTTATTAGCGAAACTAGTCGAAGCTCCTGGTTCAGGTACAGTACTGTTATCACTAAAGAAAGCTAGACATTCGTCCAAGTGTTCTGCCACTGGTTTGTTTATCACCTTACCACAGCAAGGACACTTCTGTTCAGTCAATGCAGAAACTATATCTTTACTACATCCAGGCTCTATTTTAACAGCAGGAACTTTAATGGCACATCCAATGTCATCCAAGAAAGAAGGCAGGAAACCACAATCAACATTTTTTTGTTCCTCTTTTACGACTACAAAATTATCCGACTTCCTAACGTGTTTATCGTAGTTCATCTTTTTAACAACAGCTTTAACTCTGTTGACATCATTCTGATCGAAACTGTTGACTGTTGTATTGGCTACAGGAGATATTCGTGCGTTTGGTGTGCTGTTCACATTGTAAATGTTTGTTAAATCAACAGTTGCAGTTATTTCAGGTTTAATGTCACCATTTTCTTCTTTGAACATTTTAAAGGGCGGAATTGGTGGCAGCACTCCAACAATATCTTTAAGGTTATTATTTACTGGTCCATTAGAACTTGAAGTGCCTGGAGTATCAATTACTTCTATGTTATCTTTACTTAACTTTTCTATAACATCTCTGTTTAAGCATTCATCTATGTGACTATTGACTTCATTACTATCTACTTTGGTGTTGCAAATTGGACAGTCTACTAAATTCAGTTTCTTAGCAACTATTTTATTATCAGTCTCTGTTAATTTAAAATCCTGTCCATAAACATCTTTCAAGATTGATGTGGCAGCATTCTTGAAATAATCATCAATCTTCTTCACCTTTGCAGGGGGAGACCCTGTCTGAATTGCATCCGCTTTATGTTTATTTGGTCTCTTAGTCTCGAGATTCTGAATTTGAACATTATTGGCAGCAATTTTGCTACTTGCAAGAATTTTATCTTTTGGACTATTTGGTAATGTGGGCAACTGCTTGTTAGCCCAAATGTTCCTAACGGCCTCTGCTACATTTCCTGAGCTAGTTCTTTTCCTGCCACCATCAACAGTTTGACCCTTACCAACGAATACAAGTGGTGGTTTTGATAAAGGTGGCTTTGAAACTGGACTGTTTGGAATGCTTTTTTGAGTTACTACTAGTGTTTTTCCTCCATTAGATTTTGTTTTCACAGTTGGAGTTTTGGGAACATTTTTCACTAAAGGTGTCAGAGGTCTCCTTACATCACCTGGTATATTATTATTGTTAACTGTTTGACTGTTGTTATTATTCATGTGCTTTGTAATGTCACCCATATTATTAGCTTTCTTTTCAGCAGCAGTCTTTTTGGTTTTCTTTTCAGGTTCTTTGATTTTCATGAATGTGCCTCCACAGGTTTTCTGATGGGATGCAAACCAGCAATCGTTAGGTCCTGGCGCTCTGTTCTGAGACCGACGAACAACACCAAAATATGGCCTTCTAGTTTGACAGGGACCATTACATCTCCACCAATGAGTTAAATATAACTTCACCTGAAAAAATAATAAATCTTCAATTAGTAACAATTTTGGAATTCTATTAAGGCTGGGTGCACCATCTTACTTTAACTTTGACAAACATAAAAAATCTGTCAAACTAACTCCATACAAATAACATCGTTAAAGTTACAGTCAAAGTAAGGTGATGCAACTCAGCCTAAGACGTTAAATGTTAAAGTGAAATGCAAAAAGCATTAGTGGAAAACAAAATAATGAAAACAAAATAAAAGATACATACCAGAATTTTCTACATGCAGTATAATATGGTTGTAAAAGTTGCTGTTAATGACCCCAAAAATTAGTATCAATTGCCCAAATGACTTGTTAGAAAACACTCACAACATAAAAAACAAAACAAAACTCAAGCAACAAATAATGTGCAAGACAACAAAAGTGGGTTAGTGGAAAAAATACAATTTGATTATGAAGTGCAAGAAAAATGTGCTACATTGACTTCTTGGATAACATTACAGTCAACACAGTAAAATAGTATGGATGCATAACATACAGCATTAAAAGTGCAAACAAGTTTTAAATCAAACAAATGCAGTGCATATTAGATAAATCAAATGGGATCACTTACTTCATCATGAAAGTCATGGTAGATGCTGATATTCAAACCAGCGGACTTGTTTATTCTGTGCATGTGAGCTTGAAAGTTTGGACCGTGGCCGTCCCTTTCTCTGTCTCTGTTTGTGATGAACAGGTATGCGTGGATCATCTCGTGGAGAAGGGTCTCGATCAGGTCTTTACGAGGACGTAGCTTGAGCAGTGGTTCGCTTAAAGCTATGTCGCAGAGCCCACCTCTGCCTTCGTATCTGAAAGTGTAGAACAGAACAGTTATTGATAGCATAACAGTGATGATCTTTGAAATGTAGTAAGTCATCATGTTATATACATAAAAACGATGATTAGCACTGGTCGGTCAGAGGGTACTAGGAACACAAATAACGAGTGATTAAATACAAAATGATACCTATCATTGAGCTGGAGCATACCACCATCTACAGCAACTTTTCAACTTATGGGTCAGAGGGTATATGATTTAATTACACTAGAAATGAATCTACAACTCACGAGCATATACCAGCACAAGAATACATCCGCTTGCTCCATCGAACAACAGCCCTGCTGGCCAGTTTCGCCCAGAAGAACACTTTGTCGAAGTGTATGAACAAAGTGTGGACATTCGGCGTTGGGTCAATCAGTTCCAGTTCAGGGTCGCCCAAATTCATTTTTGTGTCCTCATTCAGATTGAAATTAAAATAATATGCATCAAATTAATATAAAAAGGCTATGTTGTGTTTGGTTTGAAACTTTCGTGCTTTTCGAATCGTTGCACTTTTGACACTGACAGTGACAGATTGTTACTAAAGTTTTTTTCTTTACCTTTTTTTTGGAGGGGAGTAATGTAAATTAATCAAGTTATTTATAATATTATCACTTGATATTTTCAGCGTTATAATGTTTTCTGTAAATATTTTTTATAAAATGATTTTAATATTTTGAAAAAATATTTTAATCTTAATGTATTAATTAAAATGAATTTAATAAAATATTTCTAGGCATGTGAGAAAAAAGTGCAACCAGGAATAACAAAGTTAACATGGACTTCAACAATGTCTGATGCTTACATTGCTGATTGTGTCACACAAATAGGAGAAGTAAGTTTTTTACTATTACCTGTAGTTTATGTGAAGCTAAAAATTATAAACATTTGCCAATAAAAAAAAACAATTATTTTTTTACAGTTACAAGATTTTTTGACGACATACAAGAATTGCAACGTTAATTTAGTTAAAATCATGGAAAAAATCTGTGACACACCATTAGCAGAGTTTGATATTTACAATGTTTTTGAGATATCGGTTCTAAGGGACAAAATACGTGTTATGGAAGCAGTAGCTACTGAAAAAATCTTGGAAATGTACAAAGAAATCATTACCTATCTTGTTATAGTGTATGAAGGCTTTGAATCGTTTATATCACAGGTGAGTATTAATTTCAAAGATAAGGAATAGGTAATACATGGAAAAATATTTACTGACCTACTAAGATACTTAGTACTGTTGTAAAATAAAACTCTATTTTCAATTCTTTTTAGATGGCAGAACACTGGATAAAATATGTTCGACGATTTGACCGCTTGCTAGAAGATGCTTTGAGATTAGCTATAAAGGCCACTATGCAAAATATGTACAAATGTGTACACGGCGATGGTAAATATCTACCTACTTATTTTACTTCATTAATACGGTGTGATCAGCAATAATTTTGATACTTGTTTTAGGTACAATGGCGCCATCACCTCTAATAAAAATGAATTTGTATTTAGTTGGAAAAGAGATAGTTTATCTTCCAAATAAAAATGAGATCTATGATACTTTTACGACTCTTTTGGAAGAAATTGTACACATCATGAGTACAATCCCAAGATTATTTGAAAAATTCGCACTACCAGCTGGAGGATTGAAAAGATTTATGGAAGTTATACAAACTGAGCCCGATTGCAATAAGCTGCAATCATTAATTGATGCTGGTGAGCATGTTTGTAATGAATTTAAAACTTTCTATCGCCAGTCACTGGCAAAAGCTAAAGTATTGTCACTCGGATCAGTAGTAGCTTTGACGGTGGCACTAACTGGTGGAGTATTTAAATGATAAGAGTTATCGTACGTACTTAAACTAACCAGATGGCGCTACTAGCAAGTTCTGTAATTAACAGTGACAATCATGATGATCATGAAATGTTTATTAAATTTACAGAGATAGATTACAATATTAATCTGGTTCATGAACATATTCGTATGTGGGATCCATACTCCCATATTTGGAAAGTAGATAAAGATGAGTACATGATAAAGTACCGCGAAGAAGGGCATACTGCTGCTGAATTTGATGCCTTAATAATAAATTATAGTGATTTAGCTAATACAGTGCAGATACAAGAAACTGTGAATCAGGTAAGAGGGATGTTTTATTTTTTGGGACCAATTACAAACAAGAATAACTAGCGTGCAAAGTGCAAACTAACGTTAATATTGAAATTGCAGATTCATTTCATTACACTTAACTCAAGTGAGCTAAAAAAGTCGATAATAGCTCACTGTTTGGTGTGGCAGACCAAGCTTGGAGAACTCTTACGCAAAATCACTGAATCAGACATTGATGTTGTTTATGCATACGTTGAAAAAAGCAGTGAAGATGCAATGAAGGTAGATTAAACTATTAACCATTCCGTACACAAACTGCATAGTTTATTAGTAGATTCGATGCTGAAAATTAAATCGGCATTGTATTTTTTTTTTTAATAGATGCCGGCTGACTTGAAGGAACTTTCATCTGCAATGGCTACTTATGAGCGACTAATGTCTGACATCAGTAGATTTGAACAAACTTTTCCTCCTATTACCGATAAGATGATGACTTTAGCTAAGTTTGAAGTGGAATTAAGTTCAGATATGAAAGAAAGACATGAAAACATTCCAGTAATCTGGTCTGAATATTTGGTGCTTTTGGAAGAAGCTAAGAAAGCTCTGGAAATGAATAAAGATAAGTTTAAAGCTGAACTATTAGAGCAAGCTGAGGTATGTAGTGTAGCAAGTTAACCAAATATTTTAAATTACTTCTGAAACCTGGTCCTATTCCTGAAAAAACTTTCATCAATTAGGTGTTCAAAGAAGCTGCAAAAGATTTTTGTGAAGATTTCTATAAATCAGCACCTTGTAGCTCTGATGTCAGTGGCAAGGATGCTGTGGCACAACTGAAAGCATTTAGAGAACAGTTGAATGCACTGCGAGCACAAGAACAACAAATTCGCGATGGACTAGCTGTTTTTAACTTAACGTAATTTTATTTTTTCAATATTCATGATTATTATTGTTGTTCTTAATAATTTGATCATAGTTGCTTCTATCATTCTAATTTCACATTCACAACACTATGATTTTCTTCTTCATTACCCGTGGTATTACCTATTATTATGTTTCATGTGGTTTACCTAGGTGATTCACAGTTGTTTTTTGTACATATTAAGGTCCATCCAGATATTTTATGAGTTCAACATAATCCATAAGATACACATTGTCACTTCTATGTGTTATATTTCTTTCTGATTTCGTGGTAGGTTAGGTCATTATTTAATGCATTTGTAAAAAAAATACGCTCACAGTTCATTGGAAGTGTTCTGTAATTAATTCTATTGGCTAACTTTGTAGGACTCCAGTGAATCTGGATCTACAGAAAATGGAAAAGGAGCTGGAGAAGTTGGAAGAAGTTTGGGGCTTGGTATTCCAATGGGAGGATTCCTGGGAGAGATATAAAACACAAACTTTCTGGGAAATGGAGACAGATGAAATGGAAGAAAATGTCATGTTCTTGTTCAGGTAAATAAAAAAATTGGTTATGGAAATGGAAATTACCACAGTAGGTATTTAAATTTTCATACATTCACATTACGAGATTTCTTTTTTAGGAACTTTAATCGGCTTTCACGGCAGCTTAAGGATAAAGGCTGGGATATCATTGACACTACAAGAGTTAAGGTGGACGCTTTTAGGAGAACTTTGCCACTTATTGGTGATTTAAAAAATCCTTGCATGAGAGAACGTCATTGGGATAGAATTAAAACTTTAATGGGAGTGTGAGTGCTTCAGCTAATTGTTTTTTTTATTATCCATCAACCCTTCCCATCTCTTGATACTTTGACCGGGTGAATCATCTTCATAACTCTTTTACACAGAGAATTTGACCAAAATTCTGAAGATTTCAAGCTTGAGCTTATTATGCGTCTTAACTTCCAAGCCTATGCGGAAGATATTGCTGAAATATCAAATGCCGCTACTATGGAATTGAACATTGAGAATGGTCTCAAAGCTATTAGGGAAGTTTGGAGTAACACTACTTACGAAATGCAACACCACAGGGGCGATATGTATAAGATTAAAAACGTAGAAGACGTTATGCAGGTATTTTTTTGAGTAAATTTATAAATCAAAGTAGGGAAATAATAGACAATGAATAACCCGATTTATGTTTTATGCACATAGTTCCTCGAAGATCATCAAGTACAACTATCATCCATGAAGTCAACTAAGTATGTCGAGCCTTTTATAAAAGAGGTAGATTATTGGGAGAAATCCTTAGGATATGTTGCGGAATGCATTGAGGTAACTGTAGCCTGATTAAAGTTTTTTTGTTTAATGCAGCATGCATTTTAATTATTTCAATTTAAAAATTTAGATTTCACTACAAGTACAACGACGATACCTGTACCTTGAAAGCATCTTCAGTGGCGAAGATATACGAAAACAGCTACCTAATGAAGTTAAAATATTTGACGCTTTGACCGATGATTGGACAGAAATTACTAGCAAGTAAGGCAAGTTTTTTCAAACTGAAATAAATTGGATTTTTAGAAATGGTGTTATTGTAATTTTTATTTTCAGTATGTATGCTGGAAAAAATGCCATTGAAGCTTGTCTGTATAAACCTGCTCCATACGTATACAACAAATTGAACACAATGGTCGATAATCTCGATGGAATATTAAGAGCTTTGGAAAAATACCTTGAAACCAAAAGACAACTATTTCCGAGATTTTATTTTATTTCTAACGATGACCTTCTAGAAATTCTAGGCAATTCTAAGAAGCCGCAACTAATTCAAGTTCATTTAAAAAAGCTTTTTGATAATGTAAATAAAATTAGGATTGATAAGGTATGTGGGCTTTTAGCTTTAGTTCATTTTGTTTGTAATTACTTTCTTCCGAGGTATTTTTTTTCGTTTTGAGCAAAGTTTTCTTTAGATAAAAAGTTACAAAAAATGTTTTCACTCGTATCGTAAGTATGTATTGACTTTTCATTTTATGTGTGGTGGATAAGGACACAATGAGTAAAAAATTTAGAACATAATTATCTAAAACTTCCTGAGTATAGCGAAACTTACACTGATGAAATATTTGAATACTGAATGCCTTACTGCAAGCGAGAAGTTTCTTAGCTTTTGTTGATAGCCTCAACCACGGTAATACTATCTATACAGTATTCCAACTCGGCCATATTTTTGAAATAAATGTCAACAGTCGCGCGGTACGTCACAGTATGACAACATGCGATAGGGCTGCCCACCTACAGTACCCAGTTTAATTACATCTGCCCACTTAGAATTTCTATCTAGTTTTGTGATTGTATTTTTTTATTTAGTTAGACAAACAAAATAGTTTGTGAATGGAATAGGTTAAAAATGTGTGTTGTTTTGTGATTAGTAGATTTAATTTATTTAAAACTACTTAAATAATTTTGAAACTTTAATAATCATAATGATCTGTTACGTTAATTTCGGGCGAGCGAAGTCGTAGGCAAAAGCTGGTTTAATACAATATAATTTACATTTCAAATCAAACTGACTGAAAATGACAATTTGACTAGTTTTTGACCAATTTGACCGTAAATGACGGTCAGTCAAATTCAATCAGTTTTGTCATTTTTAACACTTGGCCACCGACGTCCATTCGGCACATTCGCGACACCCCCGACTTTTGCATACCGAGCGCATACCGAGATTTGAATTTCGAAAGAAAGTTCTTGTTTCGTCTGTTTATATGAAGTTACAATACTGTATGATATTATTACCGTGCCTCAACTCTTGTTGCGCGAGCTATTTTATTTAGGAAATATGTACGACATGAGCGCCATTTGTCAAAACCAAAAAATATCGCGTGACTGACATCTAGTATTTGGTAAAATTAGACAAAACTCTCAAATTCCAAGGCTGGGAATAAATAACCACGCAAAAAAAAAAAAATTCCGCGAAAAGTTCACATTTTTACGTGTTTGTTTGTAGCTATTCTTCAGTTTATTTTATGAATTATAAACATTAGCAATGAACCCGGAGGATATCGCTAATTGCCAGTTTGTACCCATCAGCTCAATAGTAAGTTAAAAACCTTTTGGTCAGTTCTAATTATGCTTATTTTTGAGGTTGTGAGAAATGGTAAAGCTGTTTTTAAATTGTTTTCCTGGTTTAATGGTAAATACTTTTGTTTTAGGAAAAAGCATTAAACTATGTTGAAAATGAAAAAGTTTTACGCTACAGCCTATGTAAGAGGGACCTTCTGAAATTGCAAACACACCACACTCAGGCTGTTAGAGCTTCTCTGAGAGAAAAGTTTTTGAAAAATGTGTACCACAAGGCGTTGCATCATGCTATTTATACGCACGACTGGAATAAACTTCTGTATTTCTTGAAACGGGCACCAATCTGGAAACAGGATAACCGTTTGCATGATATGCCACTCTATATCCGAGTAAGTATTTACCTATTCCTAGATATAATGCTAGTTAATTAAAATTAGCAAACATTACAGCTACAATTTTGACACTCAATGTAATTTTTGCCAACGTATCATCTCATATTGAAAACTTTATTTTTTGCAAAATTTTGTTGGATGAGTTTGTAATGACAAGAATTGATCATGATTGTCTTTATTCATGCTTTTACAGAGTCTCACCATCCTGCTAATGTATCACCCAAGTGCCAAAGCTCAAGACCTCCTCCGGACCTATTTCCACATGGTTTGCACTCGACGTTCGGAGCGTGAGAAGAAAGCGCTCATGAAAATTATACTTACACTGCCCGAGACAATTAGAGAACGATTGGGATTGAATAAGTTGCTTAGAAAAGACGATGATGATGATAATTAAAATTTACCTACTTATTTATTGGGACTGAAAATTGTTTAGTTTATTTTTATGTAAGAAGTGACTACATTTAAGTTTAATTTGTATTTTTTTAACTAAGCTGTGAATTTTGAATTAAGTTCTAGACATTAAGTAATTCTTGTGATGAATAAATTAATAATTTCTATGTTATGTTTGTATTGCTACAGATTTCTTGACGGTTTTCATTCTATGCAACAGTTTGAATGTACTAGTGCAAATTACCCATTTCAATATTAAAATCATTGTTAGGATAATATGTTTTAAAAGCCAACTGAAAATTTATGAATTTTTGTATTGTAACAATTTGGATAAGCTAACTGTCTCATTACAGAATGCCTTAGGCCTACCTGTGGCGAAGGCCATGATGTCTGACGACGGGGAGTGTATTGAGTGGAAGTACAACCTGGTGCTGGATGGCCCGGCCGAAGTGTGGCTGCTAGGCCTGGAGCACCTCATGAGGGTGGTGCTCAGAGAGGTTAGCTCAGAGAATCTAGTAGACTACGTAATTATTATTACTGATAGCATTGCTACCATGTATAGTAGAATCCCGATTATCCGGATCAATGAAAACCAGGGGTGTTCCGGATAATCGAAAATCCGGATAATCGATTTCAAAGTAAAATCAAACAATAATCATTTTTACAATAGAAAGGGTTTTTCAATACATCATTTTAGAGTCTGAAAATCTAAATTTTAGACCATTTCTTTTAACAATGAACTAAGAAGACGTCCGTACCATGTTACGGTGGCGGCGCCTTCGATTTTTATGGGTCCAGACCCGGAATCGGTAATCAGAAACTGTGAAGAATGAGTCCGGATAATCGGATATCCGGATAATCGAAGTCCGGATAATCGAGATTCTACTGTACCTTAATTTTGAGTTTCTGATATTTCGCCACTGTGGCAAGTGCCATGGTCATAGAGTAACTAAAGTTTAAAATTAAGGTACAGTCACGGAATGAAAAGGTTCGTCAGTTTTCAAATTGATTCCTTCAACGAATCGCGAGCACATATTACCTTTTGAAACTATGTTACAGAATAATCTCGAGTTAGAGAAAATAATCTTTAACTGTTCGTCAGTAAAGTTCAAAATTATTCAGGTCAAAGTTGTTTGACGATTTATCTTGTCAAGAAGATTATTATGATTGATAAACTAAAACCTTCTTATTGGTTCAACCTGCCATTATTATTTCTATTAAATAAAAAAAACTATTGTCAATTTTATTGGTCAATGTCATCATTGCATTGCACTGATGGGATAAAAAAATAAACAAGCAAAACCTTATTCGTTAGCAAACTTCATATTAATTTAAATGTTAGCAGCACTGTTTCTTGCACTGTTATGTTGGCAGGTTTGACTCTTACAGTACCTAGTGCAAGCGAAAACCGACACTAAGGTGACGAACCTTTTCATTCCGCGACTGTACATGATAGCAATCCCGTCAGTAATAATAATTATGTATGAAACAAGTTGTAGAACTGAAAAAAGGAAACTTTAAAAATCCAGATGGTAGTAGATTAGATGGGAGTTAGTGGTAGTGTCATGCTGTACTAGACATGGTAATGGGAAGCTGTGTGTCTAGTCGTTATTTCATGCACAACTTGTGCCACTCAACATGATCTTTATTGATGCTATACATTATGCGGGAATATGAAGCCGCGTTGCGCGCCATCTGGTGACGTTTCGGAGCATGTTGATTGTCACCTGTTACGCCTGAAACTATCTAGTAGATACACAGCTTAAACGTAATTATTATGTAGCCATTCTACTGTTATTTAATTTTTGGATTTGCAGCAATTGATTCTAACTCGCGCCGCTCTTAGGAAGTGTCGGTATCAAAGAGAGCAATGGATCAATGATTGGCCTGGGCAGCTAGGAATTACGTGCAGCAAGGTTGGAGCATTATTGTTATGAATGAACATCGTATTTAGAGATGGGTTTGTAGCCAGCTAGTTTGGATAATAACTGATTATTATCTATTAATAGCCATTATTAGCCATCCATTGGCTAGTAACCCTGCTATTAATAGTTTCTTACGTTTTTTCTTCCACCTTTAAAATCAAATCAATATTAAAATCAAATATTACTCAAAGAAACAAAAAAGAACTAAAAAACATCAATGTAATTTATATAAACGACATTGTAGTTAAAAAAGAATCTAAATATTATACAATAAAAGGAGAAACTGACTGACTTAGTGACAGATCAACACACAGCCTAAACGGCTAAACGTAGGCACTTGAAATTTGGAAGGGACGTAGCTTAAATACCGTAGAGGTGCACTAAGAAAGGAATTACCAAAATTCCCAAGGGAACGGGAATTAGCGGGAAAATCCTTTTGTATGAAAAATCTAAACCGCTTAAGTTAGACTAAGCTTTAAGTTTACTAAGGTACCTGCATGCCAAATTTCAAGCGTCTAACTTAAGCGGTTTAGATTTTTCATACAAAAGGATTTTCCCGCTAATTCCCGTGCCCGTTGGAATTTCGGGTATTCCTTTCTTAATGCACCTCTACGGTACCTAAGCTACGTCCCTTCCAAATTTCAAGTGCTAAATTTGTAAACTATGAAGGGATATGTTTAATCATTAGTATAACATTAATAGCAGGGTTACCATCTGAAATCGGCTATTATTGGCTATTTATGGCTAATAACTGCTTTTAATCCGTTACTAGCCAATTGCTATTAATCGGATTATTAGCACTTACCCATCTCTAATCGTATTTAATGGGTAGTGCTCTAAGAGCTCTTTGAATTAAGTGTTTCTGAATTCATAAAATTAAATATTGTGTCCGAGGCCGCGTCTTTGACATTTTTGAAAGTAGAATTTAATCTCTTTTATGTAAACTAGATGGCGCTGTGCTTACTTAGCCCGCGGTACCAAAGTATTTTTTCCGCGTTTTTTTTACTTTGCAATCAATGGTATTGATTGTTGTTACCTGCTGCTCATGTTATTGACTAGCTATTAAGCTGTCATTAATGGATAAGTATACAAATTTAATTGTCACCGACTGAGAGGTCGCCTGGCGCCAAAGGGTCGTGCGTTCCATTCCCACCACAGGCAATGTAGGTACACTAATTGTACAGACGACGGCACATCAACGTGAACACTGTGGTGTCTTATACATATAGTGGTAATAGGAGTGATATTGCAACAAAAATGTATAGTCTTATTTGCTGTTGGTTGTTGTACAAGTCATGGATTTATTGTTATGACAAGTTGGTCATCATCAGCCCTTTCACTGTACCTTAACTAGTAGTTAAATAAGTACCTTTAAGTACTATGGTTCCATCAAAATACTTGTCTCACAGATTCAGTGGACATCTGACTGTACAAGAACTCTATGTCGCTGCGAGCTCATGGGCGAGAAGAAACCCCTGAAAAAGCTTCGCAAGAAGCAGAATCAAATTCTGAGCACATTGCAAATGATGTCAAGGAAAGAAATACCTAAAATTCTTAGAGCTAAAGTCAATGCTCTTTGTGTGATAGAAATTCATTCCAGGGATACTGTTGATAGAATGTACAAAATGGGTAAGATAATATTTAATTTTGAAATTATTGGTTTTATCGCACGGAATAATATAAACGGTACAAGTAAGCAAAAACAAAGTGTACCAAAAAGGTTCTGGTTCAGTATGACTATAATTTGTGCTCTACGATGTTTTTCAGCAGGGACCTCTCAGAGTGAGAGATGATAGATTTTATCACGTTTTATTTACTTGCTTAAAGGCGTTTCTCAGGGAGGTATTTTGGGTCCACTATTATTACTTCTTAGTAAAGTCATTCTCACTTAGGCTGTATGCACGTGAGCGCATTCGAGTGGTTCTCCCAGCTGAAGTTCTACTGGGACCGCGAGCGGGAAGACTGCTACATCAGGCAGACCAACACCAACTCGATATACACGTACGAGTACATCGGCAACTCGGGACGACTTGTCATCACACCTTTGACTGATCGGTAACTTTTGACCTCATTCGTTTTTAAATGCGTAAGTGTAAGTATTGATATTGTCTATTTAGGACTTGAGTAGAGACTTTGTAAAGCTTAATTCCTTTCCATTGATCGAAATCCAGTTAGGTATTACATCTGATAAGGGTGGCCAGGTCGCTGCGGCCAACTATTTCATTCGTGGTATACTTACTCGTAAGTAAGTGCGCGTATTAGCTGCGCGACCAAATTCCTATGTCATTGGCCGCAGTCGCCTAATGCGCGGAGGCCCTATCTAAGAAACTTTCTGCCCAATATCAAGAGCGACCTTTGCGTGACATGTTTATTAATATAGTGAACGCCAGACCTACGTCATTTTATAAAAGCTGAAAGTTTGTCAGCGTATGCTCCCAATATAGGATTTAATAGGATATAATGTTGGTGAATTATGAAGTTTGGGTCATCGTGGCTTTGGGAGCTACCCTAAAAAAACTGTCTGGCAAGGAGTTGGAATTGTCGAAACTGTCTGGCTGTTGGAGAAACGTATGACTTATTAGAAGTAATTTAGAAATCCAGTAGATCTGGACGCTTACTAACTAAGCCCCTCCTCTTCCAAGCTGCTACATAACCCTGACGACGGCTCTGCACCTGTTTCGCGGCGGGAGCCCCCAGGGCCCCGCCGGCACCGGCAAGACGGAGACCACCAAGGACCTGGGCAGGGCCCTGGCCAGATGGGTGGTGGTCACCAACTGCTCAGACGGCCTCGACTACAAGTCCATGGCTAAGTGCTTTTCTGGTGAGAATTTGTTGTAATAGCTTTAAACAATCCATAAGCTATGTGGAACAGGATGCGTTTTGTAATCTTAACATTTGGATCGTTTTTTCAATAACTAACAGATGAGGCGTGTAAACGTAACATGCATACATGATCGTAGGTCTTTTACTCAAAATAATGGCTGATAATACAAAGAAGCTCAAAGTTGCACAGCGTGCTATGAAAAGGGCTATGCTCGGTGTTTCTTTACGAGATCAAATCAGAACTGAGGAGATACGTAAACGAACTTAAGTCACTGACATAGCCCGACGGATTAGCAAGCTGAAGTGGCAATGGGCAGGGCACATAGTACGCAGTACTGACGGCCGATAAGGCAGCAAGGTTCTGGAGTGGTGGCCACGTACCAGAAAACGCAGCGTGTGACGTCCACCCACAAGGTGGACCGACAACCTGATAAGGGTAGCAGGAAGGCGCTGGATGCAGGCCGCTACCAACCGTGCGATGTGGAAGTCATGCGATGATCAGTGCGATGGGGAGGCCTATGTTCAGCAGTGGACGTCCTATGGCTGAAATGATGATGATGAATGGCTAACAATAGCCACTTTATAAAAGCGAGATATCTATTCTTTGGCGCTTCTAGGAAGGCTTAAGGCAAGCAGTAGACCTACCTCTATAGCCACCTAGTTATTGTTATCCACTACCCCAATTGCGGACCTTGAAATGGGTAGTTTTTATGGAGATTCCCCTGCCTTGTTCGTTTGGGCATGTCGGATCAGATCTTTAGGATATTCCCTTGCTATTTCCGCTCCTCCAGTTAGATCTTGAACTCCCAGGCATCGCCCAAAGCGGTTGCTGGGGCTGCTTCGACGAGTTCAACCGGATCAACATCGAGGTGCTGTCGGTGGTGGCGCAGCAGATCCTGGCGCTTCTGCTGGCTTTGTCGCTGTTCCTCAAGCGCTTCGTCTTCGAAGGCTGCGAGATCAAGCTGGACGGAAATTGTGGGATCTTTATTACTATGAATCCTGGGTGAGTTGGTTTGTTTTGTTCAGTCGCGCAGGAATATTAGAATAGAATATATCGAGGTGCTGGCGTAGATCCTGGCGCTGTCGCTGTTCCTCAAGCGGTTCGTCTTCGAAGGCTGCGAGATCAAGCTGGACGGGAACTGTGGGATCTTCATCACTATGAATCCTGGGTGAGCTGGTTTGTTTTAGCCAGAAAAGCAGGAATATTAGAATAGAATACATCGAAGGGCTGTCGGTGGTGGGGCAACAGATCCTGGCGCTTCTGCTAGCTTTGTCGCTGTTCCTCAAGCGGTTCGTCTTCGAAGGCTGCGAGATCAAGCTGGACGGGAACTGTGGGATCTTCATCACTATGAATCCTGGGTGAGTTGGTTTGTTTTGGTCAGTCGCGCAGGAATATTAGAATAGACTATATCGAGAGGCTGTCGGTGGTGGCGTAGATCCTGGCGCTTCTGCTGGCTTTGTCGCTGTTCCTCAAGCGGTTCGTCTTCGAAGGCTGCGAGATCAAGCTGGACGGAAACTGTGGGATCTTTATTACTATGAATCCTGGGTTAGCTAGTTTATATTTGTCGAAATATTAAAATCTATGATTATTGACGCCCAGCTTAAACCTTTGTTCCTAGAAAGATGTTTCACAGATGTTGTCGCGACGTAGACGAGAAGAGTAAGGAATGATTTTTCGATATTCAACCCCTAAGCAATAGTGACCGAGTTTCTTGCGCTGCTTCTTCTCAGCACTGGCCCATTTATTTATTGTCCTGAAGCAGTGGTGGGGTTAATACTGGGACGTGTAAAAGTGCTTTTTTAAGCCTATTTACAGAAATAAATGAGTTTTACTGAGTTTTACTAAGGGGAGGGGAAAGGATATTATAATTATTTGGCGATAACAAGTATTCCTTCATTCTCCTTATCGTCTTTGATAGGTCGTAACTATTGCGGTCTACTTCCCTGAGATTATCTTTGTTTACCCTTCAGTTATGCCGGGAGAACGGAACTGCCTGACAATCTGAAGTCGATGTTCCGGCCCATCGCTATGTGTGTGCCGGACTCTCTCATCATCGCTGAGAACACATTATTTTCCGACGGATTCACGGCGTATAAGATCAACGCCAAAAAGGTTTGGTTACATTTCAGTTATGTCAAACGCGTAGCTAATCAGAACCAGGGTTTTAATAGTCGCCATAAAATAACTGCTTGCACATAATAATATGTTAAATGAATATAACTTAACAACTGTGATACGTACTCATTTATATTGACCTACTAGCTTTCCGCCCGCGGTTTGCGCGCGTGGACTACATTATCTACATATTTTACGGAACCCTACTTTTTTCCAAAATAAAATTTAGCCTATGTTACTCGCGGATAATGTAGCTTTCGAATGGTGAAAGAATTTTTAAAAACAGTCCAGTAGTTTTTGAGCCTATTCATTACAACCAAACAAACAAACAAAGTTTTCCTCTTTATAATATTAGTGTAGATATACCACAAAATTAAAATTCACCCCTCACCTTTCCCCAATAAGAAGCCACAATGTTTACCTGGATCGAAACTGTAAAAATGTCTCTTGGTTTTTTATCTACATTGCCTCTAAATTCCCGTTATGTCCACTGGTGGGAACAAGTCTAGTGGTGGAGACAACGGGAATAAACCACATTATCTTTCAAAAGGTTTCTGCCGGACAGCTTTAGGCACCTTTTTGGGCTCCGTAACCCTTCTTGTCTTGTCGACAACAAACCTACACAGCGTCAGCCCAAAACTCCGCCACAAGAATGGCGTTGTCAGTAACCTTCATTAAATCTTCCTGCGTGCAGTTGTTTGGGCACGCAGGACACGAGACATGTGCTTCGTCGACTGGGGAACAAAACACTTGCACTCCGTAACCCTAATGCCTATCACAGGTACCTAGCAAACGGGCGAGACAGTGCTCTCGGCCGAGCACTCGGTGTTAATGAACATTACGCCGAGCGCTCGTGTATGTGACTCGCTCACCCAACTGTCTCGACCGAGTAAACATTTTACTGTCTCGCCAGTTTACTCGGTATGTGTGATCAAGGCATAAAAAGGAACGTTGCGTTCCGCCAGGTGTTCACGCTGTACCAGCTGGCGATGCAGCAGCTGTCCAAGCAGGATCATTACGACTTCGGGCTGCGCTCCATGGTGGCGCTCCTGCGGTATGCCGGCGTCAAGCGCCGCGCCTACCCCAACCTGCCCGAGCAGGAGGTAATTGATTTATTTGACACTGTTTGTTTTCAGGTTTTTCATTTTCTTTGCATGGTTTAAGGTACTAGTCGCGTTTGGCAACAGTCTGTTTCTCACATATTTTTACTACAGCAGGAATTGCCATTTGAAAAAAAGAAAATTGCCTTAAGTAGGGTCGTGGAATAAATAGTCCACGACCGACTGATGACGAATTCAATTCAATTCAATTTTGTTATTGCTTATTAAGTGTTTACAATTGGGTCAAATGAGAATGAGCATGATTTATATTCAGAAGCATGGGATGTTGTATTTAGATAATCTTTCAGCTAGGAGTTGCTTGCTACCCCATTCGGAATCGAGCGAGACCAAATAGGGGGCAAATGACTTTCTCTATTGACAATGCAACCTATTGCTTTTCTCTCTAGAGTTTTTTTGCCTTGTCTCCTAAATAGTTTTATATCTGGCACTTAGCCAGAAGGATATCTTAGACTTGTCATGCTCACTAAAATGTCTCTGGGGTAGTGGCGTGTGAGGCGGGTCGTTACATTCCCTATAATATGGTCGAGTGAAGCGATGGCTGGTTCACACGTCATGTCTGTGAACAGGCGCTGTCTTCGGGGACTGGTCAAGGAAAGATATACCTGACATAAAATATATATGTATCAAAAAGCAACAATTAACCTAGAAATTAGCATGGCAATAAATAAATATATTCAAAACTGCCATGCGGTCTCGTGCTAGATGGGCGTCTTAAAGGCCACCTATCAACGGGAGCGCGTGGTAAGTAACTTGCTTCTGAATGTATTGTAACTTCCTACTTTTTTATATTTTTAAACCGGCAGACAGTGGTGACTGAGTTTGTTGCGGCGCTTCTTCTCAGCACTTGCCAAATGTTTGTCTCGAAGCGCTGGTAGGGCAAAAAAAGAATGAGACATGTATAGGCTCCTTAAGAGCATTTGACGATTTGCAAGAACTAATTTAATTAGTCTAAACAAATAAAGAAAATTTTGATTTTGATTTTATTGTAGATGGTTATTCTGGCCATGCGCGACATGAACGTGGCGCGACTGACGGCGAAGGACGTGCCTCTGTTCGACGGCATCATGCAGGACATCTTCCCCGAGGTGGCCGTGCCCACGCTCGACTACGACATGCTGGAAGCCGCCATCAGCGCCGAGATGCGTCTGGCCGGCCTGCAGCCCATGCGCGCCGCGCTGCTCAAGGTCATCCAGGCCTTCGAGACCAAGGTGAGTCCTGCTGAGACCAAGGTGAGTCCTGCTGAGACCAAGGTGAGTCCTGCTGAGACCAAGGTGAGTCCTGCTGAGACCAAGGCGAGCTCCTGCTGTCTGTCCCCAGGATAGCTGGAGGCTGGCGGGGCTGCAGCCCATGCGCGCCGCGCTGCTCAAGGTCATCCAGGCCTTCGAGACCAAGGTGAGTCCTGCTGAGACCAAGGTGAGTCCTGCTGAGACCAAGGTGAGTCCTGTGTCCCCGGGACAGCTGGAGGCTGGCGGGGCTGCAGCCCATGCGCGCCGCGCTGCTCAAGGTCATCCAGGCCTTCGAGACCAAGGTGAGTCCTGCTGGAGTCCCCGGGACAGCTGGAGGCTGGCGGGGCTGCAGCCCATGCGCGCCGCGCTGCTCAAGGTCATCCAGGCCTTCGAGACTAAGGTGAGTCCTGCTGAGACCAAGGTGAGTCCTGCTGAGACCAAGGTGAGTCCTCCTGAGACCAAGGTGAGCTCCTGCTGAGACCAAGGTGAGTCCTGCTGAGACCAAGGTGAGTCCTGCTGAGACCAAGGTGAGCTCCTGCTGAGACCAAGGTGAGTCCTGCTGTGTGTCCCCGGGACAGCTGGAGGCTGGCGGGGTTGCAGCCCATGCGCGCCGCGCTGCTCAAGGTCATCCAGGCCTTCGAGACCAAGGTGAGTCCTGCTGGTGTCCCCGGGACAGCTGGAGGCTGGCGGGGCTGCAGCCCATGCGCGCCGCGCTGCTCAAGGTCATCCAGGCCTTCGAGACTAAGGTGAGTCCTGCTGAGACCAAGGTGAGTCCTGCTGAGACCAAGGTGAGTCTTGCTGAGACCAAGGTGAGTCCTGCTGAGACCAAGGTGAGTCTTGCTGAGACCAAGGTGAGCTCCTGCTGTCTGTCCCCGGGACAGCTGGAGGCTGGCGGGGCTGCAGCCGATGCGCGCCGCGCTGCTCAAGGTCATCCAGGCCTTCGAGACCAAGGTGAGTCCTGCTGAGACCAAGGTGAGTCCTGCTGAGACCAAGGTGAGTCCTGCTGAGACCAAGGTGAGTCCTGCTGAGACCAAGGTGAGTCCGGCTGTGTGTCCCCGGGACAGCTGGAGGCTGACAGGGCTGCATCCAGGCCTTCGAGACCAAGGCGAGTCCTGCTGTGTGTCCCGGGACAGCTGGAGGCTGGCGGGCTGCAGCCCGTGCTCCAGGTCATCCAGGCCTTCGAGACCAAGGTGAGTCCTGCTGTGTCCCCGGTACAAGCTGAGGCGGGGCTATGTGTGTCTGCAAATTAGACGCATAAGGAAGCGCTGCAGTGACGCCACTGTGCCGCGCTTGCCACTACTAGTTTTCATTCAATATCTAGAAGCGCAACAGCCGCACGTCTTTGTCACACTGTCAAAGTCAAAGTCAAAGTCAAAATTTCTTTATTTGTTTAGACTAATAAATAGTTCTTACAAATCGTCATATGCTCTTAAGGAGCCTCTACATGTCTCATAATCTTTTTACCCTACCAGCGCTTCGAGACCAACATTTGGCAAGTGCTGAGAAGAAGCGCCGCAACAAACTCAGTCACCACTGTCTGCCGGTTAATATAAATAAATAGAAATAGTAGTAGTAGGTACATCGTAGGACTTTGGTAATGGCGCTGCAACTGCGCATCTAAAATTCTATAAAAACTATGAGTGGTGCAGCCAGCGCGCCACAATGCTGCCACTGCAGCGCTTCCTTACGCGTCTATTTTGAAGGCGCCGTCTTATATATCTCGTGTGCATCGCCCTTTGCAATCCAGGCGTTTAAGACCTAAAGGTGACCGCTTCGTGCGGGATACTGCGATTGCGACATACTGGAGCCGGCAAATAAATGCCCACTGCCACTCGATCTAATCTGATGAAAATGCAGGTTCTCTAGTTGAATAAGGCTTTTGTTCAGCAGTAGACTGTAAACGTCTCATGGTTGAAACGAAAACACTAAAAATTCATCCTTATTATAATATCTTGATCTTCCGATAGAACTCCCGGCACTCGAGCATCCTCCTTGGCGATACCAACACTGCCAAATCTGTATCCTGGAAGATGCTAGCAGCAACACTCAGCCGGCTACATCGAGAGAAGGTTCCCGGCTTTGAAAACGTGCAGCTTCATCCAATGAACCCCAAGGCGTTAACGTTGGGCGAACTCTACGGGGAATATAACCTGGCTACCGGCGAGTGGAAGGATGGCGTGCTATCGTCGATCATGAGGACTACTTGCCAAGGTGATAAGGCTTAAATTGATTTGTCATGACTTGGACCCCAGCGTGTATTTAGTTGTACCCCAGCGTGTATTTAGTTGTACCCGATTTCATTTTTCTGTGTTTATAGATGAGTCCCCTGACCAGAAGTGGATCATATTCGATGGGCCAGTTGACGCGATTTGGATCGAGAACCTCAACTCTGTAATGGACGACAACAAGCTGCTGACTTTGGTCAACAGCGAGCGGATTTCTATGCCTCCACAGGTACAGTAGATAACCAGTTTTACAACAGTTTTACAATAGCTCTTATTACAACATAGTTTATCTTCTGAAGACTTTTGAATAGAAGGTCTATTTGACTTACGATTAGGAACTTCAAAGGTTCCCGCCTCTTGTGCCCTTTGCTGTAACTCCTGTGTACCGGATAACAAGAGTGGTCAAATCAAATCAAATCAAATTTCTTTATTTGCGTAATTCCAGGTACATAAGTGGTCCTACATAGATTTGGTAGTTTTCACTGAAATTTGCTCGAACTAGGAAGCGTGCAAATATTAAAAAGAGTAGTAGACTTTATATCGAAAATAATACCAATTTGAGTTGGTATTTTTTTTTTAACATGTCATATTACATTAATTGATTAATAACAAAAAACTAATAAATTATCATTAATTAAATTATAAACTAATACAGAATGTCATATTGAATAATTATTGTCATATCATATTGAAAATGTCACCTCAGGATAATAATGTACTTATTGGATGTCACTTAACATTACAATTAAAATATTCATTTAATGAGTAGAACGACCTCTCCACAAGCCATGCATGCAGTTTGGTTTGAAACTGAGATCCGCTAAGCCCTCTTAATTCTACTAGTCTTACTTAGTCAACTAACTAAATGTGAAAATCGCTCCGTACTTCTGTGGTTGAGGATTCCTTGTGCAGATCGCTTCTATCTTGAGTCTGATCATCACTACCTATCAGGTGAGACGAAGGTCAAGAACTCATTGTGTTGTTTCTCCAGGTGTCTCTCCTGATTGAGACGCTGGATCTTGCGGTGGCATCGCCAGCCACTGTGTCTCGTAACGGCATGGTGTATAACGACTACAAGGACTGGGGCTGGTGGCCCTTCGTCAACTCCTGGCTGGATACCATTGACGACCCCGAGTATAAGGAGAATGTGAGTCTGCAAACTTTCCTTTATTTATTTACTTTAACCGCCTCTGTAGGTAGTCTAGTGACTAAGACCACCTGCTTCAGGCGCAGAGGTCCCGGGTTCGATTCCCAGTGGGGGTAGATGTTTCTGTTCGGTTTGGTTGGTGGTAGGGCTTGTTCTAAGTCCACCTGGCTTTCTACCACCATCTTACCTAAGTCTGTCGCCATAACAACAATGTTAACAGCATTGTTGTGTTCTGGCAGTTAGAGGTAAGATAGCCAGTTCCTCCGTGGTTGAGGATTCCGGGTGAAGCTCGCTTCCACCTTCGGCCTGATCGTCACTTACATCAGGTGAGATACAGGCCAAGAGCTTCCTCGTTGTGGATAAAAAAAAAGAAACTTATAAAGCTGCTTGAAGGCTTACAGAGATTCCAAAGCGCCAACAAGTTGCATGACTTCTATAATTTCCCTTTTTCAGGGTGGCTGTCTGTTAATAGCATGCGCCCAAATCCTACTAATATTATAAATGCGAAAATATGTGTCGATGTTTGTTACTCTTTCACACAAAAAAAAGTATTATTGTTTATAACCCAGAATAACATAGGCTATAATTTATGACGAACTGTGACAAACTAAATTTCACGCGGGTGAAGCCACGGGCAAAAGCTAGTTGTTATAAAGTAGCACACGTCGCCCATGCTTAGACATAGTCTATTTTATTGTAGCTACGTCGCCATTTCCTCAACATCCTGACGCCAGTTTTGGAGCTGAAGCGCCTCGCTTTGGTAGAGGGCCAAAGCGTGCGCGGACAAGAGCTCACAGGAGTGCGGTCCATGTGTCGCTTGCTGGGCCAGTGGCCCGCGCCCGGGCCTCCGGGACCGGAGGAGGAGGACAACGAGACCTTCTCCAAGATGCGGTTCCTGTTCGCGTAAGTTTCATTATCATCATTATTTCAGCTACGGGATGTGTACTACTGAACATAGACTCCCCTAATGATTTCCAGATTAGCCAGTTGGAAGCGGCCTGCATCCAGCGCCTTCCTGCACCCTTTATAAGGTCATCTGTCTATTTTGACGGTTATTATAGCGTAGTCAGTCTTCTACATCCTGACGCCAGTTCTGGAGCTAAAGCACCTCCTCGCTCTAGTGGAGATCTAAAGAGTGCGCGGACAAGAGCTCACAGGAGTGCGGTCCATGTGTCGCTTGCTGGGCCAGTGGCCCGCGCCCGGGCCTCCGGGACCCGAGGAAGAAGACAACGAGACCTTCTCCAAGATGCGGCTCCTGTTCGCGTGAGTTGCATTATTATCATTTCAGCTACAGGACGTCCTATGGTGAACAAAGTAGTCCACTGGTCTTACCCAATGATTTTCAGATAGGATTGGAAGCGGTTTGCATCTAGCCCCTTGGGCCTTCGTGCACCCTTTATAAGGTTATCTGTCTATCTTGACGGTTATTATAGCGTAGCCAGTCTTCTACATCCCTGATGCTAGTTGTGGAGCTGAAGCGCCTCGCTCTAGTGGAGGGCCAGATCGTGCGCGGCAAAGAGCTTCTGGGATGCTCTTGTACGTGCACTTTCTCTAAAATGCGGTTCCTTTTCGCGCACGTAATATCGTAGTCAGTCTTCCACATCCCTGATGTTAGTTCTGGAGCTGAAGCGCCTCGCTTTAGTGGAAGGCTAGGGCGTGCGCGGACAAGAGCTCACAGGAGTGCGGTCCATGTGTCGCTTGCTGGGCCAGTGGCCCGCGCCCGGGCCTCCGGGACCGGAGGAGGAGGACAACGAGACCTTCTCCAAGATGCGGTTCCTGTTCGCGTGAGTTGCATCTTCATTATTTCAGCTTCAGGATGTGTACTACTAAACATAGACTTATTTCAGCTTCAGGATGTCCACTATTGATCATACGCTCCCTCAATGACTTCTAGATTAGCCAGTTGGAAGCGGCCTGCATCCAGCGTCTTCGTGCACCCTTTATAAGGTCATCTGTCTAGCTTGATGGTTATTATAGCGTAGCCAGTCTTCTACATCCTCACGAGAGTTCTGGAGGAGCGTGGGCAGGAGCTCACAGGAGTGCGGTCCATGTGTCGCTTACTGGGCCAGTGGCCCGCGCCTGGCCCTCCGGGACCGGAGGAGGAGGACAACGAGACTTTCTCCAAGATGGGGTTCCTGTTCGCGTGAGTTCACTTCATCATCATTTCAGCCATCTATAGGCGACGTCCACTGCTGAACAAAGACTCCCACATTGACTTCCAGATTGGATTGAAAGCAAGCGGTCTGCATCCAGCGTCTTCATGCACCCTTTCTAAGGTCATCTGTCTAGCTTGACGGTTATTATAGCGTAGTCAGTCTTCTACATCCTGACGCCAGTTCTGGAGCTAAAGCACCTCCTCGCTCTAGTGGAGATCTAAAGAGTGCGTGGGCAAGAGCTCACAGGAGTGCGGTCCATGTGTCGCTTGCTGGGCCAGTGGCCCGCGCCCGGGCCTCCGGGACCGGAGGAGGAGGACAACGAGACCTTCTCCAAGATGCGGTTCCTGTTCGCGTGAGTTTCATTATCATCATTTCAGCCATAGAGCGTCCACTGCTGAACAAAGACTCCCACATTGACTTCCAGATTGGATTAAAAGCGGTCTGCATCCAGCGCCTTCATGCACCCTTTATAAGGTCATCTTTCTAGCTTGACGGTTATTATAGCGTAGTCAGTCTTCTACATCCTGACGCCAGTTTTGGAGCTGAAGCGCCTCGCTTTGGTAGAGGGCCAAAGCGTGCGCGGGCAAGAGCTCACAGGAGTGCGGTCCATGTGTCGCTTGCTGGGCCAGTGGCCCGCGCCCGGGCCTCCGGGACCGGAGGAGGAGGACAACGAGACCTTCTCCAAGATGCGGTTCCTGTTCGCGTGAGTTTCATTATCATCATTTCAGCTACAGGATGTCCTATGGTGAACAAAGTAGTCCACTGGTCTTACCCAATGATTTTCAGATAGGATTGGAAGCGGTTTGCATCTAGCCCCTTGGGCCTTCGTGCACCCTTTATAAGGTTATCTGTCTATCTTGACGGTTATTATAGCGTAGTCAGTCTTGTACATGCTGATGCTAGTTTTGGAGCTGAAGCGCCTCGCTCTATTAAAAGGCCAGACCGTGCGCGGCAAAGAGCTTCTGGGATGCTCTTGTACGCGCACTTTCTCTAAAATGTGGTTCCTTTTCGCGCACGTAAATATCGTAGTCAGTCTTCCACATCAATGATGTTAGTTCTGTAGCTGAAGCGCCTCGCTTTGGTAGAGGGCCAAAGCGTGCGCGGTCAAGAGCTCACAGGAGTGCGGTCCATGTGTCGCTTGCTGGGCCAGTGGCCCGCGCCCGGGCCTCCGGGACCGGAGGAGGAGGACAACGAGACCTTCTCCAAGATGCGGTTCCTGTTTGCGTGAGTTTCATCATCATCTTTATTTCAGCTTCAGGATGTGTACTACTGAACATAGACTCCCCCAATGATTTCTAGATTAGCCAGTTGGAAGCGGCCTGCATCCAGCGTCTTCGTGCACCCTTTATAAGGTCATCTGTCTAGCTTGACGGTTATTATAGCGTAGTCAGTCTTCTACATCCTCACTCTAGTTTTGGAGCTAAAGCGCCTCGCTCTAGTGGAGGGCCAGATCGTGCGCGGCAAAGAGCTTCTGGGATGCTCTTGTACGCGCACTTTCTCTAAAATGCGGTTCCTTTTCGCGCACGTAAATATCGTAGTCAGTCTTCCACATCCCTGATGTTAGTTTTGGAGCTGAAGCGCCTCGCTTTAGTAGAGGGCCAGAGCGTGCGCGGACAAGAGCTCACAGGAGTGCGGTCCATGTGTCGCTTGCTGGGCCAGTGGCCCGCGCCCGGGCCTCCGGGACCGAAGGAGGAGGACAACGAGACCTTCTCCAAGATGCGGTTCCTGTTCGCGTGAGTTTCATTATCATCATTATTTCAGCTTCAGGATGTGTACTGAACATAGACTCCCTTAATGATTTCCAGATTAGCCAGTTGGAAGCGGCCTGCATCCAGCGTCTTCGTGCACCCTTTATAAGGTCATCTGTCTAGCTTGATGGTTATTATAGCGTAGCCAGTCTTCTACATCCTCACGAGAGTTCTGGAGGAGCGCGGGCAAGAGCACAGGAGTGCGGTCCATCCATGTGTAGCTTGCTGGGCCAGTGGCCCGCGCCCGGGCCTCCGGGACCGGAGGAGGAGGACAACGAGACCTTCTCCAAGATGCGGTTCCTGTTCGCGTGAGTTTCATCATTGTTATTTCAGCCATAGAGCGTCCACCGCTGAACAAAGACTCCCACATTGACTTCCAGATTGGATTGAAAGCAAGCGGTCTGCATCCAGCGTCTTCGTGCACCGTTTATAAGGTCATCTGTCTAGCTTGACGGTTATTATAGCGTAGTCAGTCTTCTACATCCTCACTCTAGTTTTGGAGCTAAAGCGCCTCGCTCTATTGGAGGGTCAGAACGTGCGCGGCAATGAGCTTCTGGGATGCTCTTGGCCGCGCACTTTCTCTAAAATACGGTTCCTTTTCGCGCACGTAAATATCGTAGTCAGTCTTCCACATCAATGATGTTAGTTTTGGAGCTAAAGCACCTCCTCGCTCTAGTGGAGATCTAAAGAGTGCGTAGGCAGGAGTTCACAGGAGTGCGGTCCATGTGTCGCTTGCTGGGCCAGTGGCCCGCGCCCGGGCCTCCGGGACCCGAGGAAGAAGACAACGAGACCTTCTCCAAGATGCGGTTCCTGTTCGCGTGAGTTTCATTATTATCATTTCAGCCACAGGATGTCCTATGGTGAACAAAGTAGTCCACTGGTCTTACCCAATGATTTTCAGATAGGATTGGAAGCGGTTTGCATCTAGCCCCTTGGGCCTTCGTGCACCCTTTATAGGGTGATCTTTCTATCTTGACGGTTATTATAGCGTAGTCAGTCTTGTACATACGTACATGCTGATGCTAGTTCTGGAGCTGAAGCGCCTCGCTCTATCGGAGGGCCAGACCGTGCGCGGCAAAGAGCTTCTGGGATGCTCTTGGCCGGTACTTTCTCTAAAATGCGGTTCCTTTTCGCGCACGTAAATATCGTAGTCAGTCTTCCACATCAATTATGTTAGTTCTGGAGCTGAAGCGCCTCGCTCTATCGGAGGGCCAGACCGTGCGCGGCAAAGAGCTTCTGGGATGCTCTTGGCCGGTACTTTCTCTAAAATGCGGTTCCTTTTCGCGCACGTAAATATCGTAGTCAGTCTTCCACATCAATAATGTTAGTTGTGGAGCTGAAGCGCCTCGCTCTAGTGGAAGGCCAGAGCGTGCGCGGACAAGAGCTCACAGGAGTGCGGTCCATGTGTCGCTTGCTGGGCCAGTGGCCCGCGCCCGGGCCTCCGGGACCGGAGGAGGAGGACAACGAGACCTTCTCCAAGATGCGGTTCCTGTTCGCGTGAGTTTCATTATCATTATTTCAGCCATAGAGCGTCCACTGCTGAACAAAGACTCCCACATTGACTTCCAGATTGGATTGAAAGCGGTCTGCATCCAGCTTTATAAGGTCATCTCTATCTTGAGGGTTAATATAGCTGCTGAAGATAGACTCCTCCTCAAAAGTAGGAGCTGACAGAAGTCGTCCATGATAGCCTGCTGGCTAATGGCTCTCAAAATTCAGAAGAAGAATGTCGAAATTTAGTTTGAGTTTCTAGTGCCCGTTTTTCGGGCACTCAGACTAATAATTATTCTTAAGTGACCCCTTTGAAACCAAAATTCCTGTTATGTGCTACCATATACAATGCAGCAGCTGTAACGCAGCACGAAGTCCGGAATGTTACTTTAGATGTTACCTAGAGTGGCAAAAGTAGGAGCTGATTGAAGTCAGGTCTATGGTAAACTGCTGGCTAATGGCCCTCCAAGATCAGATGGAATAATCTAGGTTTTCCCTAAAATATTCTTACAGCAAAGTTTTACAACATGATCTGTAGTTCTAAGGGCTTACGCTAAAACTCGCGTGGGCGCCCGCACGCGTATCTGAATCTAAGAATGTGTGGCGCGGGCGTATGCGAAGGGTTTCCACACTCGCAGCGGATTGCACGCACGCATTGGAAGACCGGAGCGCGTGCGTGCCGCAAGTTTTGGCGTAGGCCCTTGAACGGCAACATTGTTTCTTGTATGGGCAGTGCTGCAGTGGTTATATTTCTCCTCGCTAGCATGATCTGGTCAGTGTGCGCTACGCTGGAGGACGAGCCGCGGCGCAAGCTGGACAACTGGGTTCGCGAGCACGAGGGCGTGTTCCCGCTCAAGGACACGGTGTACAACTACTACTAGGAAATACCGCCTGGCCGCGAAAATCTATGTCCTAACCTTGATCAGTCGTTGGGTGCTGTAGGGTCAACAGAGACTGGGAGCTAGGGAACGGTTCGCAAGGTGTATGTGACTGGGGAACAGGTGGGGGAGCAGTGTAATGCGGCACTAAGCCCGGAATGTTACCTTAGTGGAATGATAGAGTGGCAAAAGTAGGAGCTGATTGAAGTCAGGTCCATGGTAAACTGCTGGCTAATGGCCCTCCCAAGTCCAGATGAAGAAAATATCTAGGTTTTTCTATGATATTCTTATGGTGCGTCCAGACTGGGCGCACGGACTCGCGCTGCACGCTAGTCATCCTGCTCACTCTGCTCTTGAGTGAGCAGGATGTTGTACCTAGTCTGGACGCACCACTACAGCAAAGTTTTACAACAGCATGATCTGTAGGTCTAAAAGGGCCTACGCTAAAAATCACGCGGCGGGCGCCCGCACGAAAAATAGTAAGAGCAGCGCAGTGTGGCGCGGACGCATGTGACGGTTTTCGGTCGGATCGGAGCGGGTGCGTGTCACAAGTTTTGGCGTAGGCCCTTGAACTGCAACATTGTTTCTTGTATGGTCAGTGGTAATATTTCTCCCCGCTAGAATGATCTGGTCAGTCTGTGCTACGCTGGAAGACGAGCCGCGGCGCAAGCTGGACAACTGGGTGCGCGAGCACGAGGGCGTGTTCCCGCTGAAGGACACGGTGTACGACTACTACGTGGACGAGCGCCTGCGCCAGTTCAAGTGCTGGGAGGAGCGGCTGCCCGACAACTGGCGGTTTAACCCGGCGTGAGTCTATCACCCAGAGAATGTATATTTTCACATCATTTATATTCCCTCCTCTCTTTCCCACTTCTCTTTACTACTTCTACTTCCCTTCTCACTTCCTCATCTCTCTTTCCCACCTTTTTTTTCTATTAATTACTAGACGGGTCCAAGATCCGACTTGGCAGTGACGTCATATGGGGAGCGCAAATGTATCAACCCTTATTGGCCAATAGCCGGGTGTATACAGAGTGATCCACCAAGGTAGAATCGGTGCGCGGTAGATCATCCAGTGTGGCCCCAGCTATTGGTAAATAAGAGGTTCTGTATTTGCGCCAGTTAAAACTTGGCTAGAGCTAGTGGCTAGTATAGCGCCAACTAGTGAGTGCTTATTGGAGTTGAGTAGTTGACACTATTAACGAAAACTTAATCTAAGACACGACATCCATTTAAAGCTTTGAAATCATTCAAGTTCGTGCACTGAAGACGTCTTTTAATAATAAATTCCCACAGGCATGGGTTCCATAACATCTTGGTGCCCACATTGGAGTTCATCCGGGTGCAGATAGTGGCCCTGGATATGCTGAAGAATGGCTACGGAGTCCTCATTGGAGGACCTACTGGCACCGGGAAGACTTTCCTCATCCAGGGGACGCTGGCTAACTTGGATCCTTCTAAGTAAGTACCTATTTGCAGAGGGCGTGTTAGAAGTCAACGCCTCCTTTTTAGCCTTTTTCGGCTACGTGGGTGTAGGCCTCCTTTAGTTCATTTGTTCCTTTTACGGTCTTGAGCAACTTGATCCACTTTATTCTTGCTGTGTTTTTTGTTGTCGTGCTACGCATCTGCTAATCTGCTTTCCTTCTCATCTGATCTTCCTTGTACTCGTATATCGGTCTCAGCAGTATGTCTTCAAAAGTAACTAAGAAACCATCAAAAGTTAAGATAAGGTTCTTTACTACAATACTTGTAAGATGTGTGGCACTTCTCTACAGCAGAATCAATAAAGTTTTCACTCATTCCTTTAGGTACAGTCAGCAAGTAATAAATATGTCGGCGCAGACCACAGCAGCCAACGTCCAGGATATCATTGAGGCACGTCTTGAAAAACGGACGAAGGGGAATTACGTGCCCGCGGGGGGTAAGTGGCGATATAATGTTGCTTTTATATTTTATTTTGGAATTCAAGTGCTTGATTTGTTGTAATTTTATTTGTGGCCACGCCTTCTCCTGTGTATTTCCATCCAAATCTTTTAGGAAAAGGGAGACGCCTTTTCCTTTTTCTTCAACATCCTATAACACTCACTAAAGTACGACCAACTAGCAGCGATACAAAAGGTCGATTCGACTATCGAGTTGACAATATATTCTGTCTCTTCCCATCTTGTGTATTTGTCGTAATGTCTCGTTCTCCCGCCAAAATATGTCAAAGTCAGACGGGTTCACCCATGACATTGGGTTTGTTTACATTTGGTATCGCTTCTCGTTGGTCGTACTTTATTAGACAATTTATGATCCCGAATGAAAGGATGGTAGGAAGGTTCTAGGTGGGTCCCATTTGTTACATTGCACACAATAGACGAAGAAAAAGCGACTTTTGGTCAGAGGTGTTGATTTGCAGCTATGTACTGTTTTGTCAAATAAATACTTCTTGCAGGCAAGAAGATGATAGCGTTCATGGACGACATCAACATGCCAGTCCGCGATGAGTACGGTTCGCAGCCGCCGCTGGAGCTGACGCGGCTGTGGCACGACTACGGCTACTGGTTCGACCGCGCCAAACAGTGGCGGAAGAACGTCAAGGTATACTTGTATGCTGTGATCTGACCTATCCCGTGAAGAGATGTCAAGAAGAGAGCGCAAAGGAGCAAACAGCATTAGATATGCCTAAACTTTTAACTAATTCAATATCCCCCAAAGGTTGTGTTATATAGAGGTTTTCTCCTCTTAGCCCTGATGAAACAGGACCTTCGGCCCGCCATAGCGGGTTACGTTCTGCTCTATGCCGCTGCTACAACGAGAGCCTTGCAAAGCATGGGTCCGGGCAAACACCCTGCTAGCCCCCGCCTGTGAGGGTTTTTAAAGCTGTCCCCTACATCGTGACCCGGGAAAATGCCTTGACGACCCCTGGCCTACTCAATGAAGAATGTCNAATTTACAAAATATGACAGGGACAAACGATACATCTATTTCACATAAAAAAGTACAATCAATTAAAGGTGCGACAATAAAACAATTACCTACAAAACACAATATAAACAGTTAGAACGAGATAGAAAGACGATCACTATACTTGTTTCACGTTACACAAAAAATAGTAAAAAGTAGGGTACACAATAAATAATTTAGAAGAAGATAGCCTAACATTACAATATACTTGTTTCACACAACATAGAAATACATGTAAAAAGGCGGTAGAATAAATATTAATATTAAGAAAGTTAGACAAGGACAGCAAGAAGTTACAATGTTTCTGTTTCACACGACACGGAAATTATACATAAAAGAAGGTACACAAATATTTACAAGTTTCAAACTCACCCGCATCTACGGTTATAAAACATAATATGAAATTAGGTCAAGTTTCTCAGTCAGGAGCGCGCCGCAGTGATGCTCGCACGTATGCTCAAGGTTTGTATGTGGCGGCTGCCACATCTGTCACCATTAACTGGATTGTTAACATGTTATATTTTAATAGAAATTGTTTGTATTGTTTTTAAACTGTTAAGTGCAATAAAAAATATTTAACAAAAACAATGTTTACTGACCACACATTATTTTGTCTGTGTTCATATAGTGTAGGTATTTTTAAGTCATGCCTTTCCCCACCTTATGATTAGTACATGCTGCTGTTTTTAGGTCAACATTCAAAGTCAAAGTCAAAATTTCTTTATTTGTTTGGACTAATAAATAGTTCTTACAAATCGTCATTTTGCTCTTAAGGAGCCTCTACATGTCTCATAATCTTTTTACCCTACCAGCGCTTCGAGACCAACATTTGGCAAGTGCTGAGAAGAAGCGCCGCAACAAACTCAGTCACCACTGTCTGCCGGTTAATATAAATAAATAGAAATAGTAGTAGTAGGTACATTCGATTCAGGAGCAGTTCACTGAATTTACCATGCATTCTTGTATGGTGTATCTTATAAGAATGGGTATACAAGATTGCGTGGTATATTAAACAAGGTAGTGACGTGCTAATATCTAGACTTACATATTAAGATACTAGTAGAAATGACTCGCATACATAAATTTGAATAACTTGGATTGACCAGTCCCCGAAAGCAGCGCCTGTTCACAGACATGACGAGTGAACCAGCCATCGCTTCACTCGACCATATTAGAGGGAATGTAACGACCCGCCTCACTCATTAAACTCTTCAGTACATAGCGGGTTGCAATAATAATCTAGTAACTGACAGAAATATCATTAAGTTCACAATCATACTAATAACAGGATTAAACTAACGTATTGAATTTCAAAAGTCAGTAGGGGCGGCAAAAATTGAATGGCCTACTAGCGGCAAATTTCTAAATCCGCCACTGGAGTTATCGCGTAACAAACATAGAAAAAAAAACATACGGGTCGAATTGAGAACCTCCTCCTTTTTTGAAGTCGGTTGAAAAACAGGCAAAATTTTAAAGTTTTTGACATTTAGTCAAACTGTCACTTGTCAGCTGTTGTGCTGATTTTTTGTTGATGATTTATTTAAATTACACGCATGGACCTATAAAAAAAGGCGGACGGAGTCTCATCAACAAAATACTGTGACATTAGGTTACACCAGCTCGCCTGTACGTACAGGCCGGCACGCACACATTCACACCCTGTTACACTACTTCGAGTGCAAACTTCACATAGTTGNGGTATTTTTGAATGAAATAAAAACTAATGTATTTGTAAATGTAAAAGCTTAACTGTAACATAGGTTTCAAGTGATTTTGCATACCTAGTAACATTCTCAATTGCGAGTTGCCCGATAGACCCACCGAGTTGATGTAACCTGCCATGAGTTAGGTTTTTGTTCCCTAAAGACTGGGGGCGTTCCCTATCCGAAACCATGGGTACGTGTCCGATGGCATATCCAAAACTGCACATCATCATTTCAGCCATAGGACGTCCACTGCTGAACATAAGCCTCCCCCAATGCTTTCCATGCTGCCCGGTTGGTAGCGGCCTGCGTCCAGCGCCTTCCTGCTACCTTTATGATGTCGTCGGTCCACCTTGTGGGTGGACGTCTCACGCCGCGTTTTCCGGAACGCAGCCTCCACTCCAGAACCTTGCTGTTCCATCGGCCGTTAGTTCTGTGTACTATGTGCACCGCCCCTTGCGGCAAGGGCCTTGCCACTTCTTGCTAATCCATGCACATTTAGTCCGTACTATACCTATACCTGTCTTGTCAGGATATGGTGCTTTGCGCGGCGGCCGGTCCGCCAGGGGGCGCGCGCTCACCATTACCGCCGCGGCTGCTGTCGTGCTTCCACGCCTTCTACCTCACGGCGCCCACGCACCAGATGCTCATCAAGATTTTCGGCACCATGCTGGGTCAGCACCTCAGCGATTTTGACGAAGAAACCAAGTCTTGTGGTGAGTCAAGTGTTGCAGGTCCAGCTCGGGAACATTCTAGAACAGTTGACGTGACGTCAGACGCGGCTGCTGTCGTCCACGCCTTCAACCTCACGGCGCCCACGCACCAGATGCTCATCAAGATCTTCGGCACCATGTTGGGTCAGCACCTCAGCGATTTTGACGAAGAAACCAAGTCTTGCGGTGAGTCAAGTGTTGCAGGTTCAGCTCGCGAACATTCTAGAACAGTTCACGTGACATCAGACGCGGCTGCTGTCGTCCACGCCTTCCTCAAGGCGCCCACGCACCAGATGCTCATCAAGATCTTCGGCACCATGCTGGGTCAACACCTCAGTGATTTTGACGAGGAGACCAAGTCTTGCGGTGAGTTGTGGTCCAGCTCGCGAACATTCTAGAACAGTTGACGTGACGTCAGACGCGGCTGCTGTCGTCCACGCCTTCCTCATGGCGCCCACGCACCAGATGCTCATCAAGATCTTCGGCACCATGCTGGGTCAACACCTCAGCGATTTTGACGAGGAGACCAAGTCTTGTGGTGAGTGTATTCTAGCTCGCGACGTGACGTGACGTCAGACGCGGCTGCTGTCGTGTTTCCACGCCTTCTACCTCACGGCGCCCACGCACCAGATGCTCATCAAGATCTTCGGCACCATGCTGGGTCAACACCTCAGCGATTTTGACGAGGAGACCAAGTCTTGCGGTGAGTATATTCTAGCTCGCGACGTGACGTGACGTCAGACGCGGCTCCTGTCGTGTTCCACGCCTTCCTCACGGCGCCCACGCACCAGCAGCTCATCAAGGTCTTCGTCACCATGCTGGGTCAGCACCTCAGCGATTTTGATGAGGAGACCAAGTCTTGCGGTGAGTGTATTCTAGCTCGCGACGTGACGTGACGTCAGACGTGGCTGTTGACGTGTTCCACGCCTTCCTCACGGCGCCCACGCACCAGCAGCTCATCAAGGTCTTCGTCACCATGCTGGGTCAGCACCTCAGCGATTTTGATGAGGAGACCAAGTCTTGCGGTGAGTGTATTCTAGCTCGCGACGTGACGTGACGTCAGACGTGGCTGTTGACGTGTTCCACGCCTTCCTCACGGCGCCCACGCACCAGCAGCTCATCAAGGTCTTCGTCACCATGCTGGGTCAGCACCTCAGCGATTTTGATGAGGAGACCAAGTCTTGCGGTGAGTGTATTCTAGCTCGCGACGTGACGTGACGTCAGACGTGGCTGTTGACGTGTTCCACGCCTTCCTCACGGCGCCCACGCACCAGCAGCTCATCAAGGTCTTCGTCACCATGCTGGGTCAGCACCTCAGCGATTTTGATGAGGAGACCAAGTCTTGCGGTGAGTGTATTCTAGCTCGCGACGTGACGTGACGTCAGACGTGGCTGTTGACGTGTTCCACGCCTTCCTCACGGCGCCCACGCACCAGCAGCTCATCAAGGTCTTCGTCACCATGCTGGGTCAGCACCTCAGCGATTTTGATGAGGAGACCAAGTCTTGCGGTGAGTGTATTCTAGCTCGCGACGTGACGTGACGTCAGACGTGGCTGTTGACGTGTTCCACGCCTTCCTCACGGCGCCCACGCACCAGATGCTCATCAAGATTTTCGGCACCATGCTGAGTCAACACCTCAGCGATTTTGACGAGGAGACCAAGTCTTGTGGTGAGTGTGTTCTAGCTCGCGAACATTCTAGAATAGTTGACATGACGTCAGACGCGGCTGCTGTCGTTCACGCCTTCCTCACGGCGCCCACGCACCAGCAGCTCATCAAGATAAGGAGATATGTAAAGTGCCCCTTAAGGGCTACCTTTTTTTTACTGTTTTTTGACAAAATTGAATAAAATATTTTTGAATGATTTAGACCAAGTCTTGCGGTGAGTAGAGTTCCAGGTCTAGTTCGCAAACATTCTAGAACAGTTGACGTGACGTCAGACGCGGCTGCTGTCATGTTTCCACGATTTCTACCTCACTGTCATTTTTCTTTTGCAGGCAAAGTTGTGCTAATAGCCACGATAGACATGTTCAACAACATCGTGGCCAAACTGCTGCCCACACCGAGCAAGATGCACTATCTGTTCAACTTGCGAGACATTTCCAAGATTTTCCAGGTAAACTTACATAAGTATTTAAAGTCGATTTTTTATGGGCCTATTCCACTATTCCCCGTTGACAATCCCCGTCAACGGGAATTAGTGAACTTTTTGTCACTATTCCCCGTTAACGCCAATTGGAGCTTATAATGGGAAATAATGAACTGGAAAGTTCATTGATCCCTGTTATATTAGGATTTTATTTTGAACGTAAAGTATTATAAGTTCCAATGTAACGTTAACGGGGAATAGTGAACAAAAAGTTCACTAATCACCGTTGACGGGGATTGTTAACGGGGAAAAGACTTTTCCACTTAGTGGAATAAGCCTTTTATGGTAGAAGTTCATTGTTTTCTGAAATGTAATGAATATTTTTTTTATTGTGTAGGGATTGCTTCGAAGCAACAAGGACTATACTAACACCAAGCCTCGTTTCCTGCGGCTATGGATCCACGAGTGCTTCAGAGTGTTCTGCGATCGGCTAACTGAAGAGAAGTTAGTAATTTTGTACCCTTAGAAAATGTAATAATGCAACATAATATTTCCACTACCAGTAGTGTAATATTTCGAAGTCAAATCAGCATGAAAGTTGGGTTTCTCCATTAGACTGTTGTATATTGACATATTTTTTCACATCAAGGTCTATCTCCTAGAAAGATATTACCAATTTGAATATGATACGAATGTTACTTTTGAGCACAATTATTATCAACTAGCTTTCTGCCCGCGGCTTCGCCCGCGTGGAATTTTGTCTGTCACAGAAAAACATTATCGCGCGCGTCCCTGTGTCAAAAACCGGGATAAAAAGTATCCTATGTCCTTTCCCGGGACTCATACTATCTTTATGTCAAATTTCATCAAATCGGTGGTCTAGGCGTGAAAGCAAGACAGACAGACAGAGTTACTTTCGCATTTATAATATTAGTAGAGATTTTAATTAAGGTTTAAGATCTGTAAAACGTTAACATAGCGATTACCACGAATATTATGGCTAGGTAAAGTCCAATTTTGATCACAAGTTTCGAAGCTAAATCTCGAACCCCTATCGCAGAGATCGCGACTGGTTCATGAACCACATGGGCGACATGCTGGGCAAGCACTTCGAGCTGACGTTCCACGCGCTGTGCCCGTCCAAGAGCCCACCCATCTTCGGACACTTCCTCAACCCCTTCGAGGTCTATGACGACCTGAATGACCCTGCTGCTCTGAGGAGGTGAGAATACAAATAATATTTTTTTCAGACACCAGGTTCCTTAGTTTTTGTGATGATAGGTTAGGCAGACGAGTTTGTGACGAGGATATCAACTGGTGTGGATTTTTCGCCAGTGTCCTGCAGAGGGGTGCCTTATCGATCTTTTTAGGAACACCAACAGCAATAATACAATGTAGGCATAAAGTAACATTTGTCATCATCCCTCTGGTCATTTAGTCTCCACTGCAGGATGATGACACACTCAAATTTACCATAAACAAAAGGCAGGATTTCACCTTTATTAGGAAAAGTGTTATGTTCGCATATTTCTTCTTTAGTCACTTCTTTCGACCTCCTTGGGAAGAGTGTGGGTGCTTCTATTCTACTCTAATGATTTTGTCACCGCCAGGTATATCGCTAACCAGATGGAAGAGTACAACAGTTGCCCGGGCGTGGTCAAAATGGACCTCGTGTTGTTCAAGGACGCGATAGAACACATCTGCCGCATCGTGAGAGTCGTCTCGCAGCCGAGAGGCAACGTTCTATGCGTTGGAATAGGTACAGTACTGCAGTTAGTAATTTTTAAGTATAGGACAGTATGAAACGTTCACAAATCTTTCATCATCATCATTTCAGCCATAGGACGTCCACTGCTGAACATAGGCCTCCCCCAATGCTTTCCATGTTGATCGATTGGTAGCGGCCTGCGTCCAGCGCTTCCCTGCTACCTTTACGATGTCGTCGGTCCACCTTGTAGGTGGACGTTCCCACACAAATCTTTATGGAGCTGTATTTAGCTGTCTCATCCCACAACCTGATAAAGCTAACTGCGCACCGCGCTGGAATGCGACTCTCCCTCGTACTTACGCTTACTAACGAGTGTCGTTGTGACGTCACGGCAGCCAGCTGCGCAGTTAACTCGACCGAGTTGTAGATTACATCCGTATTTAGGGTAGGGTTACATCGATAAATGGTGTGTCACTTGAATGAAGTAAAGACAAAATATGAATTTATTTAAAGGTAGGTATACCCAACATTGATGAAACAAACGCTGGCCATAACAGCGTATTACACTTGAAAATTTCGACGGGTTCATCCAGTGTCTAAGTAGCTCAGGAAGAGCAGTCGCCCGGCAAGCGGAAGGTCGTGGTTTCAATTCCCGCCTTAGGCAGTTCGATTTTTTCAAGTTATTTATAATTTTCAAATGAATGTATAAGTGCTGTATGTCTCAACCAGGTGGTTCGGGCCGTCAGAGTTTGACGCGCGTGGCGTCTTACATCTGCGAGTGCAACTCCTTCCAGGTGGTCGTCACGAAGACCTATGGCATCAAGGAGTTCAGGGAAGATCTCAAGGTTTGATTAATTTAGCTATACGCTAGTGTTACCATACCCGTACTGCAAACAGTAAACTGTTTAAAAGGAAAGTTAAAACTTTCCTCCGAGATAAACTTGAACTTCATTGGATGGGTTTTTATCAGCAGTCAAGCTGTATACCCTGGCAACACAGGAGTTGCAGCGGTGGGAATTTATAGTCTCGCACTGCAGCCTTTCTCATTAATGGAGAGAAGTGGAATGGTGATGGATTGTGAAGCTCGCCACCACATCATCTGAAGTGACGACCACAACCACTTTGTCAAGAGTCTACCAACGTAGAAGAAGTGTTAGAAACTTTGAAAAACATATTCATTTCGGCAGTAAGATTCTGGAGTGGAGGTTACATAACGGGAAACCGAGACCGAAGACCTCATAAAGGTAGCAGGAAGACGCTGGATGAAGGTCACTACCAACCATGCGATGTGGAAATCATAGAGGAGGCCTATGTTCAGCAGTGGTCGTCCTGTGGCTGAAATGATGATGATGATTCATTTCGGCGCTAGGAGCATGGATACTTTAATTTAGAGAAATATGCTTTTAAAAAACCTAACTTGCTTCATCTTTAAGTAATATCGACACTTATTATTAAATTATTTACGTCCTTTGTAAAGATATTATACACATCGTGCGGCGTGGACTCCAAGAAGACGACGTTCATATTCTGCGACACGCAGATCGCGGAGGAGTCGTTCACCGAGATCATCAACAACCTGCTCAGTAGCGGAGAGATCACCAACCTGTACAAGCCTGATGAGTTTGAGGATGTTAGTAGCCGTAGATAGTGCTTTAATAGTTCAAAAATACGAAAGTATTAGATCTCAGTACTTCTATTACAAGAGCAGAATGACGTAATGATATCTTAAACTGTTACATAATAAAGTCGTCCATTGTGTAAGTATCTGTCGACCAACTGTTCGAAATGAATTTAATTTTGCAGATAAAGGCTTCTGCTTTGGTAACAGTCCACAAGCAACTTAGGCCGCGATCGATTAGTGGCCCTTCTTATCATATTTAGTTTAATTAATGACAAGCCTTGTCTGTTCTTCGGTAGGCATGTTAAAACTGCATTCGTCTAATATTGCAGTATCAGTCGTCAAGCCTAGTCTGAAGTCTTAAGGCTAGATGGAATCTGACAGTAAGGTTTACTGTTTGCCTTCTCACCCACCCACTTTTCCATTGATCTGCACTATACCCGGTTGGGCTATTAAGACTTACAATGAGGCCTGTGTCCTGTACATGGCTCACTCTGCCCCGCAGATAAAGCAAGGCCTGGAGAAGCCGATGAAGAACGCCAACATCGTGCAGTCGGCGGAGGCTGTGTACCTGTTCCTTGTGGATCGTGTGCGCGCCAACCTGCACATCGTGCTGTGCTTCAGCCCCATCGGGGACGAGTTCAGGTGACGATGATTTGAATTGGACTTTAATGCAATGGAATAAGGTTAAGGGCGTGTGTTGACGAGCTGGTTTCTGCCGGGTCCGACTTCGGGCCCGATCGGGTGAAAACCGGGTTGGGATCGTGCGCGCGACGTTTCAATTTCTTCCCGAACCGGCCGGACCGAGTAGAAACCGGCTCGTCAACACACGCCCTGAAAATATGTTGGGACCTACACTGAACCTTACTGCCTAAATAAGGATCATCATTGTGCGGGGAATGGGTGCTCAATAATAGTCGGACTCCAAAATCGTAATGACCATTTATTTTCCCAAAACGGCGGTCTTATATACACAAAATTTACAAAATATGACAAGGACAAACGATACATCTATTTCACATAAAAAAGTACAATCAAATTAAAGGTGCGACAATAAAACACTTACCTACAAAACACAATCAACAGTTAGATCGAGATAGAAAGACGATCAATATACTTGTTTCACGTTACACAAAAAATAGTAAAAATATCTTCTAAATTATTTATTGTGTACCCTACGTACACAATAAATAATTTAGAAGAAGATAGCCTAATATTACAATATACCTGTTTCACACAACATAGAAATACACGTAAAAAGACGGTAGAATAAATATTAATATTAAGAAAGTTAGACAAGGACAGCAAGAAGTTACAATGTTTCTGTTTCACACGACACGGAAATTATACATAAAAGAAGGTACACAAATATTTACAAGTTTCAAACTCACCCGCATCTACGATTATAAAACGTATCATGAAACTAGGTCAAGTTTCTCAGTCAGGAGCGCGCCGCAGTGATGCTCGAACGTATGCTCAAGGTTTGTATGTGGCGGCTGCCACAATCGTCAACATCATTAACAGCCACAGGACGGCCGATGGGGCAGCAAGGTTCTGGAGTGGGGGCCACCTACCGGCAAATAAAGATCATTCACGATGACAAACCTTTTTATGCAGGAACCGCATCCGTCAGTACCCCGCGCTAATCAACGCGACGACAACTAATTGGTTCTTGGAGTGGCCGCGCGAGGCGCTGCTGGAAGTGGCGTACAAGTTCCTCGAGGGCGTGGAGTTACTGGCCTCTATTACTGGGCCTAGGGTAATAATATCTACTTTATTTTAAACTAGCTTTCCGCCCGCGGCTTCGCCAGCGTGGAATTTTTCAGTTTTTATGTAACCTAATTTTTAAAATCGATACCGATAGTAGATCCCGATTACCCCTTACAATGAAGAATGTTCACTAATTTTGTTTTTTAGCTTTCTGTATTCTCTGTTAAAAATAAAAAATACACGTGAATGAATTATTTCGATACGTCAATTAGTTTCCAAGATATTGAATTTTAAAAGTGCGGGCGGCGGCCGGCCCGCCATTTTATGCGCGTGACGTCATATTACAGTGACTGGCTCATATTTGTATGGGTGGAATCTTGCAAGCTGAATTAAGACCCACTTCTGGGCAACCGATTAAGCTGAAATTTCGCATACACATGCGATTTGGATGACCATGCAATATTATGATGACATGGAGCTGATCTGATGATGGAGCTGGAAGGTGGCCATAGGAACTCTATAATAAAACGACTTAAATCCATCGAGTTTGGGCTCGTTAGTTTTGTACGGATGAGTACTTTCATTCTATATAGTAATCAGGGTCTGATGATGGAGCTGGAAGGTAATTCGCAATAAAACGACACAATCGCATCAAGTTTGGGTTTGGTTCAATTTTAATTTCTGTGATGGGTCTGGGTGTTAATATGTATAATAAGCATAGCTGGGCACCGTTAATCAAATAGTTAACTTCGTTAATCGTTAAACCGTTAATAAAAAAATTAACTTCGTTAAACGTTAAAACGTTACATTTAGTAAGATTTAACGCAAGTTAACGTTAATCGTTAATCCGTTAACACACGATAATAAAACGAAAAACCGGCCAAGTGCGTGTCGGGAGTCACGCACAAAGGGTTCCGTACCATTGATGAAATTAAAATTATTATTTTTTTAATTTAAGTTATTTGTATTTTGAAAGATTACGCGGTAATAAGCGGTTTACGTTTTACGAGGTATTAAAAAAACTACTTGCTAGATCTCGTTCAAAACAATTTTCGTTGTTAGTTTTTATAGTAATGTACATCACATGTTTTTTTTAGATTTTTCATTTTCTTATGTTAGAAGTTATTTGGGGGCAACTTTTTTCCACTTTGGAAGCGTCTGTCACGCAAACTATTCGGTTTAGAAAAAAAGTATTTTAGAAACCTCGATATCATTTTTGAAGACCTATCCATAGATAACACGTATGTGTTTGATGAAAAAAAATTTTTGAGTTTCATTGCTAAGTATGGTGAGCCCCCAATATTTATTATTATTTTTTATTTTTGCATCAAAATCTTAATGCGGTTCACAGAATACATCTACCTTCCAAGTTTCAACAGTATAGCTCTTATAGTTTCGGAAAAAATGGATGTGACATACGGACGGACAGACAGACATGACGAATCTATAAGGGTTCAGTTTTTTTGCAATTTGGCTACGGAACCCTAAAAAGTAATTGTATGCAAGGTTCAAATAATTTCGAAAGCTTGTAGCGCAAACATAAAAGAGGAATAAATTCCGTGCGCGATTTTTTGAGGATAGCTATATATTACACTAGCTTTCCGCCCGCGGCTTCGCCCGCGTGGAATTTTGTCTGTCACAGAAAAACTTTATCGCGCGCGTCCCTGTTTCAAAAACCGGGATAAAAACTATCCTATGTTCTTTCCCGGGACTCAAACTATCTCTATGCCAAATTTCATCAAAATCGGTTGCGAGGTTTAAGCGGGAAAGCGTAACAGACAGACAGACAGACAGAGTTACTTTCGCATTTATAATATTAAGTTGGGATAGCAACGATGACCCAAACTTCATAATCCACCAACATTCTAACCTATATTGGGAGCATACGCTGACAAACTTTCAGCTTTTATAAAATGACGTAGGTCTGGTGTTCACCAGCTCTTAGTCTATAGTATCTCAATCTCAGAGCCTTGGTTCAATTACAATACAATTTAGCACCAAAGTGCTCGAAAGGACAAATCCAACAAATCCAAATTCGATAAGTTTCCACCGTTTCATTTAGGAATTCCTATGGCCACCTCCTGACTCCATCATCAGGACCCTGGACATCATCTAGTACTAAAGTGCTCGAAAAGAGAAATCCAACGAATCCAAATTCGATGCGATGCCGCCGTTTCATTTAGGAGTTCCAATGGCCACCTCCTGACTCCATCATCAGGCCAGCTTAATGGTACCATAACATTGAATTTTCATCGTACTTACATAAGTATACCAAAGNTGACCAGTCGTATAAAAACGTTTCATGGATTTGCGTTTTATTATCGAAAAACATTCGCTAAAACTAATTTTTCTTAACAAATAATAAATAAAATTCAAATTTAAATGCACTTTATGACATAATTTTTAAATTGTCACTATTAATATTTTTTACTGAATAACCTGCAAAGTTAATTCTACAATTTCTGAAAAATCACCTAAAAGTAACCTTTTCATTAGTGTAACCTAAAAGTAACCACAGCAGTTCAAAAGTAACCAAAAAGGTTACAAAAGTAACCTTCTGGCAACACTGCATAGTTGACACATTTAGGCGGCGAAAAATAAAACAAATAACGTCATGTCTTGTGTGGTGAAATGGTGTAAAAACCGTTCTGATCGAACGAATAAAAGTCAAGGAATCACATTTCACAGGTAAACTAATAATTCAATCACTTATTTCCCGATTTTATAAACATTAAAATATTAAAATCAAATGTCATTCACCCGAAAAAAATNAAGTCTTGCGGTGAGTATATTCTAGCTCGCGACGTGACGTGACGTCAGACGCGGCTCCTGTCGTGTTCCACGCCTTCCTCACGGCGCCCACGCACCAGCAGCTCATCAAGGTCTTCGTCACCATGCTGGGTCAGCACCTCAGCGATTTTGATGAGGAGACCAAGTCTTGCGGTGAGTGTATTCTAGCTCGCGACGTGACGTGACGTCAGACGTGGCTGTTNTGGATTCAAATAATAAGAAATTGTAACAACGACAACGATTGGATCCCAAGCAAACGTTGTGTCATTTGCAGTTGTCACTTTGAAGAAAATGACTTATATACGACTAAAGGAGGACGCCGGCGTATTGTTACATATGCATTGCCTCAAAAGGTTAATTAAAATCTAAACTAAAGCATTTATTTTGAAACTTCAAAAGTTTTAAATAAGCTTAATGAAACTTTTCCTCATATTTTTTTCCCAAATCTACATGACCTGACATATCTGCCGATCTATGTTTTTCTTAAAATAAATGGGTAAATTGTTTTGGCTAACATGGCATCCCTAAATTCACTCACACAATAGACAAACGCCAAAATTTTGCGTCACAGTTTTGTTGTAGCGCGAGTTCCGTCCGCCTTTTTTTATAGGTCCATGATTACACGATTAATAACAAAAAAATCATGTATAAACTTAAAAAAAAGGGACATGAACTAAAGGCAAACAGCTACACATATTTTTATTTTTTCATACCTATGGGTTTTATCCTAAGGAAGAAAATGGCACCACAGGTATACAGGTGACCCAAAATTCTGGAGGTACCGGATGCGTTGATAAGGCTTAAAGGTTATTTAAAAATAACTAAAACTGGTCATATCTCAAAACGCATGAAACTTTTTTTTTATGGACATAAATTGTTAGATTCGTCCTAGGCGAAAAGCGAAACGACTGAGAAGAAGTGTGTATGAGTTAATAAAGTATTGTTTGTTTTTCCCCAGGATATGAACCTGCGACTGGCCTTCGCCATAATATCGTCAGCATGCTGGTCAGCCTTCCAGCACGGTTACAACACTGGAGTCATGAACGCCCCGCAAGCTGTAAGTAACTTCATCATCATTTCAGCCACAGGACGTCCACTGCTGAACATAGGCCTCCCCCAATGATTTCCACATCGCCCGGTTGGTAGCGGCCTGCATCCAGCGCCTTCCTGCTACCTTTATGAGGTTGTTGATCGTCCACTGCTGAACATAGGCCTCCCCCTCAGATCATAGAAGGGGCCTCCCCTAATGATTTCCACATCGCCCGGTTGGTAGCGGCCTGCATCCAGCGCCTTCCTGCTACCTTTATGAGGTTGTTGATCCAGCTTGTGGGTGGACGTCCTGCGCTGCGTTTTCCGTTACGTGGCCTCCACTCCAAAACCTTGCTGCTCCATCGGCCATCAGCCTTATGTGTTTTTGACGTAATAACAATGAGATTAATTTTGGGAGATTATTCTTTTTCTTGTCGTGGCGACAACAAACCTACACAGAGTAGCCCAAAACTCCGCCACAAGAGTGGCGTTGTCAGTAGCCTTCATTAAATATTCCTGCGTGAAGTTGTGAATTTGTGTTGAGAATATTCTATTGTGACAGAAGCTCAGTGGTTAAGAAAGCAGACACTAGCGACTCTTCAGCATGTGGACGATTCAAGCCCTTCATATAGAGAACTCATCTTTCTGGACGTGGAAATTCACGGTACTCTACTCAGAAGTCGTGCTAGAAAGCTAGCCGGTTAGAGAGACAGGTTTGACCAGCGTGAGGCACTCCTCACGCTGGTCAAACACTTCCACTTGACACTTCCAAATCTTCCATTTGCCTCATATGGTCTATTTTGAGCGTAAACGAACTAAAGTCGCTGACATAGCCCGACNAACCTTTTCATTCCGCGACTGTACATTAAAATATTTATAATCATCTTTAATGCCTTCATAAAACTATCGGTAAACGTGATTTCATCATCATTTCAGCAATAAAATACAAGGCGTTGACGTGATTTAATAAAAAATATTGATAAAAAGTTAACTTTTCCTTTGTGATGTTGAATTTTCAGATGGTAAAGTACCAAAATACTCCTTCAGAACTTCATAGAAGATCGCAAATCTATCCGCATAGCAATGTGTAAAATCGATGATAAGTTACTCCGAACCCAACTTTAGTAGGTGAGCTTAATACCTCCCGAATATCTCACGAAAGCTGATATTGGAGTTTGAATCTCATTTGACGTAGGACTCGTTGGAATAAATCGACTTTAAAAACAATTTTCATTAGTCCAAGGACCTGAGATTGGTTTCTCGAGATGTAGTTATCGAATCGAGCGAGTCGAGCGATTTTACATTGTTGGGTAAGAATTTTAACTAGTGGTTTTGATAGTCGGAACTGTTTTTGAGTAGAGAGAGGGAATTGCAAGATGCTTCTTCTTGATAAAGTTTTGATTCAATACTATAAGTGATGGATTATTATCATCTTTGTCATGAAATTTAATAATTTCGAATAACGGAAATAAAGAAATTCCAACGTAGGGGAAGCCCGGGCAAACTGAATAACCCAGGTAAAGCGGATAAGCGATTTTTCTGGAACACAATAAGAGATGGCTTTACAAGTTGCGGCTGCGTAGACGAGTGACCCCTCTGACTACGCCATGACAGTTGATTCAAAGCGACTGGTGCCTTTCGTTTATTTTTGTGACAAAAAAATTGTTTAGTGTGTTCTTCTTACGATTTTCGATCAGGTTTGTTCTCATTTCATTTGTTTTTACTGTTAGCTAACCCAAGAACGATTTAGTTTTGCAGATTAACAATGTTTTCTAGTAATATTTGTAATATTAGTATTACATTAAACCGGTATTGAAATATTAAGAAAAGGCATGTTTAGAAATACACGTTTTGGGCAAAGCGGATAGGGCAAAGCGGATAACTTATCCTTGTATGTGTAACTGGTATTTTATTTTTCTTTTCTTTTCTTTTCAGAATAGTGTTTAAGTATAAACGTAAAACAAATAAGAAACGTTAATGGTATTAACTTCTACACCAGTTAAAAGCAAACAAGCAATAAAATACAAAAAAAATGATAGTGAAATGGATCCACCCATAGAGGACTAGATCCAATACTCAGAGTGCCACCGTTAGGCACATTAAAATTGTACGTTATATGATGAACTGGACAGTTATTTCTGCGATGACTGCCAGGTGTTACTGCCTAATATGCTATACCCGACGTAGCTTATCCACTTTACCCAACCGGGTCGGGTAAAGCGGATAATGGACGAGGTTTAGAAAAAGTAATAATTAAGTATGAAGATATTATATTTTGCTACTTTTAACTTTACAATTGCAATTGTGATTATATGTGCCATAAATGAAAACAAAAGGTTGTTCCTAAGTTAAGTATTTCTGTGTTATTTTTTTGTTTTTCCTTAACTTATCCGCGCTGCCCGGGCTTCCCCTACGTTTTAAGAGGTTCGTCAATTAGGAAGATATTCTAGAAGTCACTGACTATATTAGCCAGTAAGACAAAAATAATTTTCTATTGAAACACAAATGTCAGAAATTTCAGGTGTATGCCAATTATTGCAGGGTTGATGTTTAATTTGACCGGACTATATCTTTTGCGAAGATATTGTGCCTACCTAATAAATTCTTGTAACCTTATGAAATAAAAATCGATGTTTTAGCACTTATCTACTAATAAGGGAATAAAGGTATCCTAAAGGAAGTGTCATTGCTACTATAGCAAGTTTTTAACCGACGAAAACAATGACGACCTTTAAATTTTTTAATCTCTTTAAAACCTTTCTAAAATTGTCCAAAATGGTGCTATAATCACAAACTTACAAGCTTTATAAATTAATTTCCACATGCGCCACAGCCCGGAATCCCGGCTCCGACCAGTTCCGCGCCATTACAATAGTTCCCAACTAACTTCTCGCGGGATGAAGGATTCATACACTGCCAACTTTGGTGCTTGTGCAATCTCCAAAATTGTCACACTGAGATAATGTGTGGTTCCGCTTTGGATTTAATTTTGGAACTGGTATAGGGACTGACAGAAAAGACCGTTAGAACAGCTTGATATTTAGTTACTATATCACCATCATCATCATCACTTCAGCCATAGGACGTCAACTGCTGAACATAGGCCTCCCCCAATGATTTCCATGTCGATCGATTGGTAGCGGCCTGCGTCCAGCGCCATCCTGCTACCTTTATGATGTCGTTACTTATTTTTTAAGAAAATGTATACCTATAAAGAGTTCAGGATTTATTAGGACTGCGGGAAGTGTCTGGATGCAGGTAGCTCCAGAACGGTTATTGTAGAAATCTTTGGGGGAGGTCTTTGTTGTGGACATCTTTTGTCCACTTTTGTTTACATCTATAAGGAAGGCTTTAATTCACAATCTACTTCATTAAGCGTCTCCGAAATACTTTTCGCTTGAGTACTACTGAAATTGTATGTATATATTGAAAATATTGAAATTAACATTTATAAAGTTACAGGGTGTTGCATTTGAGCAGTAGAATTCATCCTTTTTGTATGATCTACACTTATTCACTTAAAGCGACACCCTGTACAAAAGCAATATACGGATAACCGGAAGACAATCGCTTCGTTTGCCTTTGTTAAAATTCCAGATGCTTCCTCTTCAAGTTTTTCATTTATAAAATCAATGGAAACTCTCAAAAGCTGTCCGGGACTGAGCAGTCTCTAATCAAACATTCCATCTGAGCCCTCCGGGACTTCGGGTCCCGATCCGGAGATCCGGGGATCCGGGTGCTTTATCCGTATAGTTTGGTGCAATACAACACTTGTAAACATTGCGTTTGCGGGTGAAGGTTGACAGAGAATTGAAGAATTTGGTTGACCAAAAAATCTTATGAGAAGATATTTTAGGGTTTATCTGGGGGCACGGCAGTGCCCCCGCCAAGTCGAGCGCGAAGCAAACACTGCCGTACCATCTTTACTGGAACCATTTCGCCGCATTTTCAGGCCTCTATTTGAGAACCTTTGGATAAGACCAGAACGCAGAAATTTTCGTCATCTAGTAAGCTATAATCACATACTTAAAATCCAAAATTTCAAGTCTGTAGGTCATTTAGTTCCGAAGTTAAGCGAAAGCAAAGTTTCGCATTTATGACACTCACTCACTCACTGATGATCATCAAAATAGAACTAGTACTTCCCATTAACTTAGAGAACTGAAATTGGGTACAGAGTTAGGGTTTAATGGCCACATAAAGGGAAAACTATAAAAACTAGGAAAATCTAAGATCTGGAGTAACACCACATTCATAAAATCAATAGCTACTAGCGCCACACCGGCACCGTGGTGTTCGCCTGTACTGCTCACCGCTAGATGACGCTAGCACTTTGAGCGTCGATTTTCTGCATCGTGGTGTCAAGATTTTTTTCCTTTCTAGACCCCCCCGTCGATTAAGTTGAATGTTGTGTAATTATTTGCATTTCGTTGATTTCGTTTATTATATCGTGAGGTTCGCTAAGGTTAAGTTATTAAAACAATTTCTGATTTGTTGTCCATTTTAAAGGTCGTTGAATTTATTTGTGTTTAATATCTTAAAAAAAATGTCGATAATATTAAAAGAAAAGACGACGACGTTAAATAATTATGCCACTTTCTACAAAAAGAAGTGAAATCCCACCAAAAACATTCTGTAAAAAACTAGCCAAGTCTCGATGGAGCTGCTTGTTTATCTCTAAAAAGTAATGAAATCTAGACAAAGTCTTGCCAAGTCTATGGTTCCTTACTGCGATTTCTTTATTATTACTTAGTTAATGTTGTGTGACTTGGCCGTTGAACAATCTTTATTAAGATAATCATACATAAGTATTATTGAAATACGCAGCGTTATTAAGCCTACAATTGACTGGTTATTGAATCAACGTTTTCCAAGTGCAATTTATTTTCCATCGTCAATGGGTAGCGGTTCTGGCGACAGATTGGTGCAATGGTGTCATGGAGCATCTGGTTTTGTACCCTTCAACGGCCAAGTCACACAACATTAACTAAGTAATAATAAAGAAATCGCAGTAAGGAACCATAGACTTGGCAAGACTTTGTCTAGATTTCATTACTTTTTAGAGATAAACAAGCAGCTCCATCGAGACTTGGCTAGTTTTTTACAGAATGTTTTTGGTGGGATTATACTTTTGAAATGACATGTCGTCCCTCGCATGACTAACTATCCTATCTCAGTTTTGCCACTTTCTCAAAACCACGGGTTTTCAGTTAGGTCATTTCAAATTTAGTTTCTGTTTATACTTTACGGACCTCGTGATAGGAAAAATAGGTACATACAGATACGTGAGTTAGAGAAAATCGTAGACAATGGAAGCAGGAAAAAATTGTAGTCCGTTAGGACTTGAGTTATTATCAAATCGCCAAAATACTAAGATAGGATAGTTAGTCATGCGAGGGACGATGTGATTGGTAGAAATATGACTTCTTAACAAAAAACTTATCCCATAACGTCCACATAAAATATTATTTTTAACGGCAGAAAAGGTTTCAGTTATGTAGGTACCAGTATCACCGTTTTAGGATTTACAGGACTTACGCCCGTATTCACAAACGATGCTTGCTTAAGTGAAGCAGCAACTCGAACGTACAGCGTTGAATAGAGCTCTGTGATTGGTTCATGTTCGTTCGTTCACGCGCACTGTGCGACCTCATAGTAATGTTTGTGAATACCGGCGTAAAAGCAAGTGCTAGTTTTATTAGAATAGAGCGCACCTACATAGAAGATATTTTTAAGCAAAATAGCACCTTATGTGGCGGACACAAACACAATAAATTATGGAACTAGTACGGAACCCCTAGAACTACTGATAGTGTATAACCGATGCCTTACTAAGACCGTGCTAAGACTGACGTTAGCACCTACTAAAACACTATTGGATTTCGAAGGTATTTCAATATTACACCAAACACCGATCTTCATCTCCAATATTGGATTTCAAATTCAATATGGGAAAGCATTTGGTTGAGCAAAATGAAAAATAAATATTCAAATTCTTTATTAGTAGGTACCTACCTACCTGCTTATTGTGTAAGGGCCCTTTTTAGGGTACACACGTTCACACTCTATAACCATTTTGGGACAATAATATCGGGTAATGGAAGTGGTGGAAGAAATTCAGTATTAACTTACTTTTGTGAGAATTTTATTTAATAGAGGTTACAAGAAAACTGGATTTAATCAGTGCGAGCTTGACAGGTAGAGCACACACTGCCTAGTTATTTAAATACACATGACTGCATAAGGTAACTCTCGTTCCATAAAATAGATAAGTAGATAGAACACACTAGACAAGAAAAGAAAGAAACATTTTAGCCAGATGAAGCTCGCTTCCACTTTCAGCCTGATCGTCACACTTAAATTACCATCAAGTGAGATACAGGCCAAGAGCTTCCTCGTTCTGGATAAAAAAAACACGGTAAAACTTAGACAGTCTTATTGCTACAGAGCGATATGTTCCAGAAAACCTAGAGGACAGTTGTTATAAATCTATATCTATACTTATAATAAATCTGTAGAGAGGTCAATTCTGTACATGAAATATATTTTCAAAATAACTATCAGGGGGTGATTAGTAATCGATACTGATGCCAAAAATGCAATCAGTAAAATTTTTGTCTGTCTGTCTGTCCGTCTGTATGTTCCTTATAGAAACAAAAACTACTCGACGGATTTTAAAGAAACTTGGTACAATTATTCTTCATACTCCTGGGCAGGTTATAGTATACTTACGAATTCCCACGGGAACAGGAATTAGCGGGAAAATCCTTTTGTATGAAAAAATCTCAACCGTGTAAGATAGATGAAGGGGGTAAAACGAAATCCACGCGTACGAAGTCGCGGGCGGCCGCTAGTATATAAATAAAGCAATTTAACAGCATTGTTGTGTTTCCGCAGGAGCTATGACAGCCTCTGTGGTTGAAGATTTCGGGTGAAGCTCTCTACCACATTCGGCCTGACCATAATTTACCATACCAAGCCAAGAGCTGAAGCACTTGCGGTGTGGTGTCTTGAAGGTGAACCTTTTGTGGGTAAATAGAAAGACTTAACTTAAAACTGGACTTGCAGTAGTCGGAACGAGAGGTGCTATCAATTTTTTTAAAGATTCAGTGATGTTATTTTCTTGATTTGTCAGATGACTATCAACACCTTTTCTACCAAAACCACCCCCATCGTCACGTGCGCGTTAGTCTTTGACAATCAGCAGCCGGACATCCGTGTCTACCCTCCATCTCTGACTCAACTTATCACTTTTATTTGTGTACGTGACGCACTTGAAATCTTTACATTATTCAGCAAACGTTTCTACTCGTATATTCTAGACTCTAGACAGGCTGTGCCGAAGGATACTGCTTGTGTAAGTGGAGTATAAACAAATAATTAATAAGCTCATTATAAAGAAGCCGATTGTAAACGACAGTGTTAGGATAAAAGATAGGTATAGACCGTGATATTATTTTGAAACTATGTACCAAAATAAAGGTTTTTTTAAAAACCTGAAAATAAAACATGAGGATTGCTTTAACTTATCAATCGCTGTAACTATTTATTTCATAACGATGAACGCTGTGCAATTTGGTAGATGAGTGAGCGCTATTTTTCCTTCATGGGAATTTGCGAAACAAAACATGTAGGCGTATATTATTCATGTAGCAGTGTAAGATCCTAAGAGATCAAAAATCAAATAGAAGGTAAAGTATATTAAAATAATTATTTATACCATGAGTAAGTATTTTCTTCAAGGAATGAGGTCAAAATTACGTGTAGTTAATATAGTTACTTACTCATGTTCACCAAACCTCGAAGATTAAGGTTACTCGTTTACTTTAACAGATACATGTGTAGCTAATCAACAAACAATAATTAACTCTCATTAAAACTTCCGTCGTCAAGATGCAACTTTAACAAGATTGTGAAGTTAGTTTAAAATTCCATCTTGGGTCCTAATGAAGGAGCATCTTAACTAAATTAATTTCCTATAAGCGCCATTGCATCCACTTTGTCGTCAAAATGCCAGCGCTTTAATTAAAAGGGAAAGAGAGATAGATGGAGGGTTAATATTTTGCTGTTATAAGCTTGTTAAAGCAGCTTACACTTTGTCGTTTAGCTGGAAGATTAAAATGGAAGTGCATTTTCAACTAGCGTTGTTGCACGAATGATTGAGTGTCGGAGCTCGGAACTGATTCGTGAGTTTTCTGAAATAATTTTGGATTGAAAATTTATTGTAGGTACAGGTATACCTTTGTCTGTCTGGCTGGTTTGTTTGTCTGTTTGGCCTTTGTCCAGCAGTGGACGTCATTTGGCTGAAACGAAAACGAAACAGGTATACATCTACTCATCTATACTTATAATAAATCTGTAGAGAGGTCAATTCTGTACATGAAATATATTTTCAATATAACTATCAGGGGGTGATTAGTGATCGTCTGTCTGTCTGTCTGTCCGTCTGTATGTTCCTTTTAGAAACAAAAACTACTCGACGGATTTTAACGAAACTTGGTACAATTATTCTTCATACTCCTGGGCAGGTTATAGTGTACTTAGGAATTCCCACGGGAATTAGCGGGAAAATCCTTTTGTATGAAAAATCTAAACCGCTTAAGTTAGACGCTTGAAATTTGGGAAATTTGGGAAATTCCCACGGGAACGGGAGTTAGCGGGAAAAAACATTTCGCCCATTTGCGACGACACTGTGACATCTCGACATNTATTTTGTTTTATTATTTTGAGGGTGCTATCAATGAACGTTGAAGGACAATAATTTAAACAAAATTGAGAAGAAAACAACTATTTATTTATCGGTTTATGCCATGATAACATTGGAATAAACCGATGAATTTGATGATTACAATTAATAAAATTACTTGTAAATAGTGACTTAACACTTTCACAATGGCGGAATGGCGAGATGATTTGCGGGCGGGTGCGGGTGTCTCCTTCTCTCGCTTTCGGCTCGGGCTCTAGTAACTCGGTAACCGATTAAAGCTGATTAGCTGACTGTTTTTACTCTTTCAGATCTGTATGATGCGTTCTCGGTTTTTTTTTATTGTTTTCGGTTGTTTTGCTGATTCGATTCGATACCAAGTATTTTTGTTTCGATACCGATTATGTATCGCAAAATTGATTCGATACAATAAATACTTGGTATCGAATCAAAAGTATCGAGTACCTACTCGTATTTATTAGTATCGGAATATCCCTAAGCCCGACGGATTAGCAAGCTGAAGTGGCAATGGGCAGGTCACATAGTACGCAGAACTGACGGCCGATGGGGCAGCAAGGTTCTGGAGTGGAGAAAGAGAGCGTGCTCCTGCATTAAAAACTTAATGGCCTGATGATGAATCCTCATTTCTTTTGCAGATAATGTCAAAATGGCTACAAGATGACGCTCTAACGGGCACGAATTCGACTCTCTACAATGCGACTGACGATCCAAAAGTGACCACGGTCTGGTCCATAGCTGTCTCCATCTACTGTGTGGGTGGCATGATCGGGGGCTTGCTGACAGGATTTGTTGCTGACAGGTCAGTTTTACTATTGCCTTTGTCCAGTCATCGTCAAATAGTTCGTGACTAGGGTTGCCAGGCGTCCGGCTAAGCCGGACATGTTTGGCTTTTTACGGTCTTGTCCGGCCAAATATTGTGTTGTCCGGCTTTTGGTAGGCTTTTTATTGGGCTGCCGCGCCCAGGCGAAAGTCGAGCCACAGAATAATATGAATAAGCTCACGCATCAGGATGTGATAGTAGACACTCACGAGCTGACACTAATTGCACCTTTTGCTAAATGCACCATTTTGGACCTGGCAACCCTATTCGTGACACTAAAGTGGCCTAAAAGTTGACAGGAAAACCTTATTTCAGGAACAAAAACGTATTGCGAACTAACACTCCTATTCACAAAGGATGCTTGCTTAACTGAAGCAGCAAATCGAACGCACAGCCTTATAGAGCTCTGTGCTTGGTTCGTGTGTATCCCTGTGCGTCCACGCGCACTGTGAGACCTCATAGTAATGTTTGTGAATACGGGCGTTTTATTGTCTACGTTAATTGGGTGTCACGAACTATATATTTGACGCTGACAGTCCTTCACTGGTGAAAACCAAGAAAAAGTTACGAAATCCGCCAGCGAGGGACAACACTACTGAAAGCTGGTGGAAAATATAATATAATCTTCACCGTTTTAATCCTAAATTATTTCAGCTAGTTTTGTTATAAAGTTATTGTTTTTTTTTTTCAGATTTGGAAGAAAACGCGGGTTGCTTCTGAACAATATATTCGTGTTTATTGGGGCCGCGTTGGAAGGAAGCGCGAAGGCTGCCAACTCAGCCGAGATGCTGATCGTTGGAAGGTTGGTAATAAAATAATCATAGACCTGCCCCAGAGTAAATACAAATGAGTAGGTTATCTTCATAGAAACGCACCGAGCGCGGTTTGTATGTGAGCGCGCGAACACGTATGTGGCGCGCACGCACACACTGACAAAATTCGGCGCAACTCCCCGCTAATCCACTAGAGTAAATACAAATGAGTAGGTCATCTTCATAGAAACGCACCGAACGCGGTTTGTATGTGAGCGCGCCAAATACGTATGCGGCGCGCACGCACACACTGACAAAATTAACCGCGCTCGGTGCGTTTCTATGAAGATGACCTACTCATTTGAATTTTGGTACTCTGGCAGTAATAACATTTGGTTAGCCACTAAAAGCAGCATTAAAATCATTTGGTTGGCCAACAAATACTTGGTTTGCATTAAAAACAAATCGTTCAGCGATCCTTGTGTCGCAAATAATCTTGATAATGTTCAGCAATTCAATCACAAAACAGGCAGCATATAAATAAACATTCAGTAGGTAATAAAATAATCATAGACCTGCCCATTCATAAATTCAAAGCTTAAGGGCTATATTTCAACGGGACACCATAGCGGCGCAACCAGTCGCGCTACCAACAAAATGTATGCAGCTTTGCGCAACCAAACGGACACCAGGTGAGTAACTCTCTATAGAGCTGCATACATTTTGTTGGTAGCCGGCGACTGGTTGCGCCGCCATGGTGTCCCGGTGAAATATAGCCCTAAGGACGTAGCACACTTAAATCAACCTAGTAAGGAATCGCAACCGATACGTTTCATCATCATTATTTCAGCCATAGGACTGGGATGTGGGTGGGATTCCACTGCTGAACATAGGTCTCCCCAATTCTTTCCATGTTGATCGATTGGTAGCGGCCTGCATCCAGCGCCTTTCTGCTACATTTATGGAACGTCGGTTCACCTTGTAGGTGGACGTCACACGCTGCATTTTCCAATACATGGCCTACACTCCAGAACCGTGCTGCCCCATCAGCCATCAATGCTGTGTACTTTGTGCCCTGGCAATCCACTTTAGCTTGCTAATCCGTCGGGCTATGTCAGCGACTTTAGTTCGTTTACGGATCTCCTCATTTCTTATTCGATCTCGTACAGAATAGCCCTTTCCATAGCACACTGTTGACACTGTGCAACTTTGAGCTTCTTTATGAGTGGCGCGAACTAGTGAGCACATTTTGTTGTCATTATTTACTATGACGTTTGTGTTGCGACCTCAGACAATGTTTTTTGTTTTGTCTGTCTACACACACATTAACAAAGAGCGTTCTTTGTTTACAGTTTTCTTACCTGAATTAAATGACCGGTCAAGTTCGAATAAGTCTCAAACAATGGGTTCTGTACCCTGATTTCTATAGGTCTAGCGTTTAACTCAGGCAGTGCCTGAGGTATTGGAGAGGCACGGGAGGGGTGACATTGACATTATGACGTGACAGAGCATACAAATGAGGGCTATCTATAGTTTTTATACTTAAGAGTTGGCACCCCTGGCGATTGACAGGACCTTACTCTACAGTGGCGCCATCTTGATGAGTGCAAATGCGATAGTCCTCCTACCACTTTCGCGCTCACCAGCTGGTGCTACTGTCTTCGCTACTAGCAAGTGACAGGACCTTACTCTACAGTGGCGCTAACTGGTGAGCGCTAAAACGATAGCCCTCATTTGAAGGAGATCTGAAATCTCGCTGACGTTTGACTTTACAAAAACACCCTCCCGTGCCGTTCTCCTACCTCAAGATTTAATTGAGTTAAGCGATAAACTTAAATAAAGAAAATTCATTGTTGAAACCTTAGGGAGGCCTTTGTCCAGCTGTGGACGTCATTTGGCTGAAACGAACGAAAGAAAATTTATAATCCCTGCCACACTCAGATCGTTTTCATAATAACATGACTTTCTGAGACCACACGAACAAAAATCTGGTATAGGTATTACATATTTACTTTACTATGTCATCATCAGGCCATTTAGTTTACCAGAGGCAAATGTAGGATTTGTCCTACACTCCCCACGCTGCCGCGCTGGCCAGACGGGTTGGGGAGGTCTAAGTTCGCATATTTTGTCCCTTAGGCCTGGTTTTTTGATTCGTAGTTAAAATAACCAATGGTCAAGTTTGACAGATGTCAAATGACAAGTGGTTAAATATCAGAAAAAAATGTTTTTCGAACAATGGTTAGCTTGACTTTTAGTACATTTGTTAACTATTAGTTAACATTTTGTTAATATTTAACCATTAGTAGCAAAATTTAACAATTTGTTATTTTAACTACGAATCAAAAAACTGGGCCTTAGTCGCCTCTTACGACATCCACTGGAAGAGTGGGGGTGGTTCTCTGCTCTGGCGGAGTTCTATTCTGATTTTGGCATTTTTATTACGGAACCCTAAACAACCAGCTTTTTTTCATACTATTGTTATATTCGTCCTCTCTGACCCGAGTGTCTCAAGAGTCAAGACTGTATAATTGTTTTTTTATTGAAATAAGACATGGGTGAAGTCAAATCTTCCATTTGCCTAAGGTTCTAGAATTAAAACACCTCCCCGGGTTCGCTCCGTCGCAGTAAAATCGACCGGGTTGTTGGGTCGGGCCTTGATATAAGTTTTTTTTAAAGATTATTAGTAATTTGTAATTTAGTCCCGTTAGCCTCTATTGGTAAGCTAAATATGCTTGTGTTACGAGTGGGCTCACCACAATAGTCGAGCGGCGGTGGGATTCAAACCCGCGTTCCTCGGATCGAGTCGGCCAGTCCGACCCCTTCACCACGGTCCTTCACCGTTCGACTATCGTGGCTTCAAGTAATTCTCTTGCTACCTACCATTGCCATAAAACTCTCTGGGACGGCCATGTTGACTCGCTCATAAGTATGTCAATTGACATGGTGTCAAATGCACTATTGTAATTGAACCCACGGTCTCAGGTTGGTGATCGGCGTAAACAACGGATTGAACGCCGGTCTGGCGCCGATGTACTTGGCGGAGATATCGCCAGTGTCGCTTCGAGGATCGGTAAGTTAAATAAATTATAAATTACATACTTATAACTTGAAAAAATCGAACTGCCTAAGGCGGGAATCGAACCCACGACCTTTCGCTTGCCGGGCGACTGCTCTTCCATCTGAGCTACTATTTTAAACACTGAACCCGTTTAAACTCCGCCACTCAAGTATTGTTCTAGGTTTTTGGCACCCTGTGCGTCCACGCGCACTGTGAGACCTCGTATGAAGTGTTAGTCCAGTAATGGCCTAGCTAGACTACCATTGTCTGATTAAAAACAACAATTTATGAATTCGCAAAAGATTATGAGACATGACTTTAAGGTTTTTTTCTTTAAATATTTGACGATTTGTTAAGCACTAGGTTTACTTAATAATCTAAATTAACTCAAAGGTGACTGACTGACTGACTGACATAGTGATCTATTAACGCACAACCCAAACCACTGGACGGATCGGGCTGACATTTGGCATGCAGGTAGATGTTATAACGTAAGCATCGGCTAAGAAAGGATTTTACGAAACTCCACCCCTAAGGGGGTAAAACGGGATTCACGCGTACGAAGTCGCGGGCGGCCGCTGGTAGCAAATAATATTTGTAGAAATTTTTGATTTTGACTGGCTTTGTATTTTTTGTTCAGATAGGAACGGTCTACCAGCTAGTCATCACGATGACAATCCTTCTCTCGCAAGTCCTGGGGTTGACATCAGTCCTCGGCACCGAGACTGGTTGGCCATGGCTGCTTGCTGTCACTGTCATCCCAGCTGTCATCCAGTGCGCAACGCTACCCAGGTGCCCGGAGTCGCCTAAGTACCTTCTGCTGAATAAAGGACAGGAATTGCACGCTCAGAGAGGTAAGAATAGCTTACCTGGATTAATCTTTAGAGCCACATACTTTTAGCATCGGCGATTCAGCTGCTTTTAGAAGCTGCTACAAATTCCACACACATAGCTCGGAGAGCTGATGGCCGCTGGGGCAGGAAGGTTCTTGAGTGGCGACCACGAGCCGGAAGACGTAGCGTGGGCAGGCCTCCCACTAGGTGGACCGACGGTCTGGTGAAGGTCGCGAGAGGTGACTGGATGCGAGCGGCGCAAGACCGGTCTTTGTGGAAATCCTTGGGGGAGGCCTTTGTCCAGCAGTGGACTTTGTAATGTCAATGTGTATCATTTAGTACCAAATAAATATTTTTTTTTTCTTTCTTTCTTTCTTTCGGCTGAAACGAACGAAGGTACGAACAAACAAATTCCACACCGCACACTGAAGCCTAGGCACAGACCACCGATTTTTTATCCTCGGGTAACTCGCTCTCAAAATCGGTGGTCTGCGCCTGGGCTAAAAAGCAACAGCAGTCGCTAAAACACGCGATTTCGATACCGCGTCCGAACGCATGTAGTCGAAATAGCGATGCTGCATCGATACAGTCGCAAAACTGCCGATCGCCGATGCTAAAAGACTTCTAAAGTAAAAAGTAACATGTCTGAGCTGTGGCCCCGAATATTTTGAAAAATCGTTTCGTCACTATTACGTGCTCTGTGGGACTAGACAAAGTGCAAATTATAATCGTAAACCAGTCGAAAAGTGGTCGAAAAGCCCTTTTTCCAACCGACTTCAAAAAAAGGAGGAGGTTCTCAATTCGACCCGTATGTTTTTTTTTTCTATGTTTGTTACGCGATAACTCCGTCAATTATGAACCGATTTGAACAAATCCATTTTCGGCGTTTAAGTAATACCTCAAGGGTGGTCCCATTTAAATTTAATAATAAAAAAACCGGCCAAGTGCGAGTCGGGCTCGCGCACAAAGGGTTCCGTAGCAGCAAATATAATAAACTTATTATGTCAATTTAATCAACCTATCTCAAAAACTATAAGAGATACTTTGATCAAACCAAAAATCGTTGAAAGAGTTAATTAGCATGCATCACCTCTATTTTTTTTAGAATTTTATACCCCGTAGTTATAAAAATAGAGGGGGGGGGACATACTTTTTACGACTTTGAGAGCTGATATCTCAAAAACCGTTCACTTTAAGAAAAATGTTTTTTAGAAAACTTTATATCATTTTAAAAGACCTTTCCATTGATACCCCACACGGGTATGTACATCGAAAAAAAATTTTCATCCCTCAGTTACATGTATGGGGGGCCCCACCCCCAATTCTTTTTTTTACTATTTAGTGTCATAATTTTGTAGCGGTTCATACAACACATATTCCCATCAAATTTCATCACTGTAGTACTTATAGTTTCCGAGTAAATCGGCTGTGACAGACGGACAGACGGACAGACGGACAGACGGACAGACGGACAGACGGACAGACGGACAGACGGACATGACGAAACTATAAGGGTTCCGTTTTTGCCATTTTGGCTACGGAACCCTAAAAATCAGGAATATAAAGTTTGCTTACCCGTATTTAGCAAAATTCGTCCATAACGTCGTCATTTTCTGGATCATATCCGTTTCAAAGAGTGTGGGTATGATTTCTTGGCTAAATAAATAAAATAACTCGTCGCCATGTGTGGCGCCACTCGCGTTATGAGAGCCCACACTCCGCTTCAATATGTTCCTTCTACCCTCATAACCAAATAAGTAATGCCACACTGGTTGCTCACTCGTCTGCATTATGAGATTCGTTTCTTCTACCGGAGGGTAGTTATTAAATGGCTCCCCATATAATTTGGATATCTGTGGTATGGTCTTTGCTGATATCTCGTTTTCACCCATGTACAGTTTTTTCACTTTTTGAGCTACATCTTTCCGTACTTCGTCAGATGGAAATTCCAAGTCTTTTGGAAACACCATTTCGTAATCGACTTTTTCTAAATAATGTGTGTTCTCCATACCAGCAAATAACAATCCTTCTTCTGTATTAGATCCTATAATCATAGGCACTTTATTGTATTTTCCATCTACTAAGATATTGTAAGGCAAATCTGTCAAAAAAGGTTCTTCTCCTTCTATAATTTTCTCAGCACACGGCGAGAATTGTATTTCTGATAACATTATTGTAGTGCCTTCTAATCTTGGCACTCTTGCTACGACCAAATCTGAATCACTACTGTTCATAAAAAACTTATGTATTTCATGAGGATCTTTGCTATCAAGACCCATTGCTTTGGCATGCAAACTGGCCTGAAAGACTTGGTCAAATTGGAAGACAAAACCTGACAGAGCAGAGCCACTTTGCGCGATAGCTTTGTGGAAGAGGCCCTTGGACATTGGCGAAAGGACGTGCAAAGCAACAGAGGCTCCTCCAGCACTCTCGCCAAAGATGGTTACATTATCCGGGTCACCGCCGAACGCCCTGATGTTCCTCTGTACCCACTTCAACGCTGCTACTTGGTCTTTCATGCCTGCGTTCCCTGGGGCTGCCTTGATACCCAAGCACAAAAACCCTTGAACATGTAGCCTGTAGTTGAAAGTGACTAGCACAACTCCTTTACTTATTAAGTAGTCTGGACCATACACGAACCTTGATGCTGACCGTCGGAAAAATGCTCCTCCATGGATAAAGACCATGACTGGCAAAGGTTTTTCTGGTTCATTATTTGTGTACAAAGGTGTGTAAACATTGAGTACCAAGCAATCTTCCTGGCCGTTCGTGTATTTTGACCCGAGAGACCACGTTTGTGTGCAGCGTATGTGATCGTCAATCGCTTCAAATACTCCATCCCATTTAGGCTCAGGACCAGGTGCCTGAAATGTCAATGCAATCAGGTAGTGAATATGGTGAACGTTAGTATACCTAGCTATCAAGATAATTATATTTTTTGCTCAATGTCCGATCATTGGGGTAATGGACAAAGCAGAACAATGCCAGCCAGTTTAGGTCAAGGTATCGAGAATCGAAGAGAAAAGTAATCGAGATTAGTGGCACCCTTTCAGATTTATCACATCCCCAAAATTTTATAGTAAGATTCTAGACACAACATTTTAGTGCTCTTTGCTATCTGGCGTCTAAAGTGCCTCCATGATGTCTCGCTCAGTCCCGTGGTCTACGTGGTTAAGCAGTTATCACACCTGGCATTCAGTGATCTCATCTACGCATCTAGTATCTTCTCCTTCTTGCCTCAAAGACGCTATTATCAGATCATAATCTGAATCATCTTGTTTTATCTAATGTTTTATCTAACCTGAAATCGCTGTTGTACAGTGGCGTAGGGAATGGCGAGGTAACGCGCGTGCGAGCCGTCGGGAGAGACGGAGCCGCGCAGCCAGCCGCCGCTCACGCGCACCGGCGGCGTCGGCTGCCGCACCAGCCGCGCCGCCCACAGCGCCCACAGCACCACCCACTTGCTGCGACCGCGCATGCCGGCTTCTGAAAGCGAACATCATCATCATCATCATCATTTCAGCCATAGGACGTCCACTGCTGAACATAGGCCTCCCCCAATGCTTTCCATGTTGATCGATTGGTAGCGGCCTGCGTCCAGCGCTTCCCTGATACCTTCATGCTGCGTTTCTCGGTACGCGGCCTCCATTCCAGAACCTTGCTGCCCCATCGGCCGTGAGTTCTGCGTACTATGTGTCCTGCCCATTGCCACTTCAGCTTGCTAATCCGTCGGGGCAAAGCAAACGTCACTCAGCATTCATCATTAAGTCTCCATTGCAGAAGTAGGTCTCTAATCAGAGGCAAAATAAGGGTTTTGCCCTCGCTCGCTAGATGGTTTGGCCCAAACCCCCAAACCGTTTGGGGTGGCCTGACATTCCACATCACGCACTTGCCACTCACGTGCATGCCGGCCTGTGAAAGGGAACATCAACATCATCAAATTGAGTCTCTATTGCAGAAACACGACCCCCTCTTTAATCATTAAAGGGAACATGACTTTTGGAGAAACTTCTTCTTTCGTTGTTTACACCAGAGGTTTTACAGTGTCAAGTCAGACAAAACTGTGCCAGCTTTTCTGCAGAACTCATCATTGAGTCTCCATTGCAGAAGCACGATACCTTCTAATCTGAGGCCAGATAAGGGTTTTGCCCTCGCTCGGTACATGAAACTATAAATAAATTAACTTATCTTGTAAATAACGATAACGATTTACTAATTCAATAAGCTTGCTTTGTCATAAAAGAAATACTCGTATTTTAAGTCTCTTTAAAAGGTATGTGTATTGAATGTGACTTATAAATTACTGAAGTAAAAAAATAGTAGAATGTACTAAGAACTTGGCTGTAGAACTTCATGCCTTTGCCGATACAGAATTTGTGATTTAAAAATAAACAAGAGCTCTACCGCACTGACGTATTTCTCCTCCATGCGCTCTACCGTCTCTTGACGACTTCTAGTAAATGAAAGAGACAGATACAGAGAAACAAAAAAATTATGTAGCTCAAATAATATTTGACATTGACACTGTCTTTGACGTTTCTATTTGTAAATTTTGTGATAAGGTAGGAGCCTAAACATATCTACTAATAAAGGGGTGAAATTCAGACTAGTTTTTGATACCTAGGTCTCTATTTCTCTGTATTATTAAACTGTGTCAACAAGCACAAGAAAATCAAATGCCATTTTGTTTTGATTTCTATTGTTGTTTTATTCAGACTTAAGTTTGTTCATTCCGTAAACAAGCTAGGTAGGTAAATGTTTATTGGTTAATATAACAACAAACGAATCAAAATATGTAAATACTTACTTGAATTCCAAATTCAATCACAAGAACTTCTCTATTACTATAACCTAACTGATTCTGTCACTGAAGTTATTTACCTAGTAATTTTATGAGATACCACTGGTCTATTTAATTGCCACAACACTCAATATGTTTAGTATAATATAGATAGTTTATTAAAAATTATTTATTTGAAGTTTATTGTTAAAGTCACCTTTCGCAATGGAGCATTTCATAATTACTTGCTTTGCTCATATTTCGTCGGTGCTATGACAACCTTGACAGTATGTTAATATTACCGAGGTATGACTATAACCCAAAGTCCATGTCGGATGATAACAGCATATTCGACCTTGTCCGAATATTATTTTGGTTCTCCGGTCAACAAGAACATAAGTATACTTACGCTCGTATTCACAGACGATGCTTGCTTAAGTGATGCAGCAAATCGAACGCACAGCGTTGATAGAGCTCTGTGGCTGGTTCATGTGTCACCCTGTGCGTCCACGCGCACTGTGAGACCTCATAGTAATGTTTGTGAATACAGGCGTTGTTCATGTATAAATATCTGAGCATTTTAGGGAGTTATGCATTTTATTAAGTGAATAAGTGGCAGTAACGGTCTCACATAGGGCCATTGGTAGGCAAGTATAATTATTCTAATTGAATTCTGTAATACTCTTAACTGAAATGAAAACAAAATATACACAATGTAGCAGCGTCTTACATGGGAATCGAGAGAAAAACCCATTCATAATATACATCAAGGAAGACTTAGATATTAAAAAACTTATTATGTCAATTTAATCAACCTATCTCAAAAACTATAAGAGATACTTTGATCAAACCAAAAATCGTTGAAAGAGTTAATTAGCATGCATCACCTCTATTTTTTTTAGAATTTTATACCCCGTAGTTATAAAAATAGAGGGGGGGGGGNAAAAAAAATTTTCATCCCTCAGTTACATGTATGGGGGGCCCCACCCCCAATTCTTTTTTTTACTATTTAGTGTCATAATTTTGTAGCGGTTCATACAACACATATTCCCATCAAATTTCATCACTGTAGTACTTATAGTTTCCGAGTAAATCGGCTGTGACAGACGGACAGACGGACAGACGGACAGACGGACAGACGGACAGACGGACAGACGGACAGACGGACATGACGAAACTATAAGGGTTCCGTTTTTGCCATTTTGGCTACGGAACCCTAAAAACAACCCCAAGGGTGGAAAATTGGGGATGAACTTTTTTATACGCAATATCTCCGCCGATTATAAACCAATTTGAACGATAATTTTTTTGTTGAATAGGTATTATCAAAAGGGTGGTTTCATGCGAATTTGAAGAAAATATTTTACCCCCAAGGGTGGAAAATTGTGGATGAATTTTTTTATACGCAATATCCGCCGATTATGAACCAATTTGAACGATTATTTTTTTGTTGAATAGGTATTATCAAAATTTTTTAATTTTTAGTTTTTTTTTTGTGTTCACGCATTTGAAGTCGGTTATATTTTTTTTTTAAAGTTAATTGTATGGAGTTTTGACGGATTCGATTTTCGATTCGATCAAAAAGTGCGTTTTGTCTAGGGGGGCTGTGGTCACCAGTTGGCGACATGGCGCCACTATAGAGTGAAATTCAGACCTCATCCAGTACTTTTGAAAAAATAAATTAAATATCAAAATATAGATGGCGCTGTATACGTTCAGCTTGTAATTAGTACATTAACTTAGCGATAGATGGCGCATGCATAAGTAATATTATTTCATATTCATTAAAAATAACATTTTATACTCTTCTTACAGCTCTGAACTGGCTCCGAGGCGATGTAGCGGTTCACGGTGAAATGGAAGAAATGCACCAGGTGAGCAGAATCATTACAATTTCATATTATGAATTTTCTATATTTTTTAGAAAATTTATCAATGTGTTTTTAGTTATTATTTCAAAAAACAAACCGGGCCGTGCCCACCCCGAATGATCTAGTACCCCACGATTCGTCTTTAGTACACACTCATGGGCTATGATACTAATATTACTAATATCATCCTCCTTCTCCAGGCCCCCTTGAAAAATAGTCTTAGAAATTACGCTAATGGTGTCAAATAAAAACTGTTTCCATCCATCTATGTTCCAGGAAGCCGAAAAGAACAAAATAAGCAAGAAAGCGACTGTCAGAGAACTCTTCAGTAACAGACAACTCAGACAGCCTCTTCTCATAGCAATGGTGGTGATGGTAGCTCAACAGCTGTCAGGCATCAACGCTGTTATATTCTTCTCCACAGACATCTTTAGGAAGGTTAAATTGGATAAGGCGCAGTCGCAGTACGCTACCTTGGGTAAGACCTGTTTTATCATCATCATCATTTCTGCCATAGGACGTCCACTACTGAACATAGGCCTGCCCCAATGATGGCCGGTTGGGAGCGGCCTGAATCCAACGCCTTCCTGCTACCTTTATGAGGTCGTCGGTCCACCTTATTTACTTGCGATTAACTTCTTCTTAAATTGAGGTGAATCTTACTTAATACTAAAAAGTTACCACTTTCTAAGTAATAAATGTTTTTGATTTGATTTGATTTATTCTTTTTTATGCAGGAATGGGCGCCATGAATGTCGTGATGACAGTGATCAGTCTGTTCCTGGTGGAAGTAGCTGGCAGGAAGACTCTGCTGCTGACCGGTTTCAGTGGGATGTTTGTAACCACCATACTGTTGTGTGTCTCCAATATGTATGTGAGTATCAAATTGTAGCTGTCTATAAAAACTTAAGGATGTAGCAAACTTATCAACCCGGAAAAGAATCGTAACCGTATCAACTCGAGGCGGTCAGTATTCTTTGTATGAAAGAAACTCGATACTGCAACGCACTCTTATCCGCACCGTAACATAAAAGAAACGCCTCGCGGTCGACAGCGCGCGGAAGGCGATGACAGCTCGCGAAAGGCAATACGGTGTTGGTCGTCGTTGATAATTCTGTTCTTGCAGATGATTTCAATTTTTACTAAACCGACTCATAATCTTTCATACCCTCTGGGTGCTATGTTTCTAAACTGATACAACCCTCCTCAATAAAAAGTAAATAAAGGGCAATTATGTAATGCCAAACGTTCAACCTAATATTATTACTAGTTTCAACGTCCGCGTCCGTTCATTTTGGTCCAATATTTTGCCAGACTAGACTAGAATAGACTGTCAAATGTCAATGTTACTGAATTGGAACATGTTTCTCGCTCTTCTTCTCTAGCTCTCTAATCTTTATCTCTAATAATTAAGCCTTACATGTCTACACTTGCCATTCAACATCAGGACATGTTGTTATCCTATCGTTTCATGTTCCAGACTCATCTAGTGTGGGTGTCGTACGCGTGTATAGTTCTGGTCATCCTTTTCGTGGTCATGTTCGCCGTCGGTCCTGGCTCCATTCCATGGTTCCTTGTGACTGGTAAGTGATAACTGGAGGAGAATGCAATTATGGCATTAAGTTAATCCTTTTGTACTCTATTCAAGGTGCTAGCAAGTTTAACTAAAAATAAATTGAATTAATAAAGTTCCTTGAAGACCCTAGTAAATAGGACTAATGTAGACACCTACTACTTTATGTCACTTGTCTGTTGATACAAAGTTGTAAGTAGTTTTTTAGCCAATTCATTTATTATTTAAGAGCGATAAAACTTTATAATGTGCACATTATGTGTTCATCGTAGTACCTTAAGTAACTTTAGGTAACTGGAGCACATCAGTTTTTATTCTGAACAGCTTACGTAATAAATTATAGCTTTTAATTATTATTTTTTTATGGAAGTAAATAAATTTAATCTGTGGTTTTCAGAGTTGTTCAACCAATCCGCGAGGCCTACTGCGTCATCTGTGGCGGTGACCGTCAACTGGGCCGCGAACTTCATCGTCGGTCTCAGTTTTCTACCAATATCGGTACGTAAACAGAAATATAGATGGCGTTACTTAGGTATTATAAGTTGAGTTTAGTTTATTTTACTTGACACTAGATGGCGAGTCACGATTTCTTTTTCCCCTATGGCTTGCATGTATGCACATGTGTCAAGTTGACTGCTTTTAATGGTGAACAAATTAATGAAAATTAACATTTCAAAAAATTTTTTTAGTTGGTGGTAAATCCTGTTTTTTTGTTACAGTTGGCGCTCGGTTCATACACTTTCATAATATTCGCAGTGCTGCAACTATTGTTCATCATTTTCATATTTTTCAAAGTGCCCGAAACGAAAAACAAGACTGTTGAAGAAATAACTGCCATGTTTAGACAACAAATGTAGAAATTATAAAGTTTTTAAACAATTTTGTACTTAAATATTGACATCGTAATTTGATAAGGCAATTTAAAAACTTGTCACAACAACGTGCTTCCTAATTTTTAGTTTAAGTGGTCCAATTTATTCATCTATCTCTCTTATGCCAGCATTTAGTAAGAAGTTGAAACTAGATTTTTAAAGTTGTGAAGTTGACGAATTTATAAATATTCTAATTTTCGACAATAATATGTACGTTATGTACACAACCAATTTATATAAACTTTTGTAGCAGTTTCGCTATGGGATTTATTTATTATTTTTTTGTCAAAATGTAGTATTAAAACATATTTGACTCAAATTTTAATGAAAGTGTAGTATAGATCACTTACACCGAATGTTTGAATACCGAACACACAAATAAGGGAGTATACGCAAGACTTCAGCGCGACAAGCGTACACAGTTTCAAATATTTGCTATTTGCTTGTATTGATCGCCTCAACTGTTGCCGCGAGAGCTATCCTATAGCGTTAATAATGTTAATACTCTATGGAACAATCTCAGTGAAAACTTTATTTAAGAAAATGTTTAGGCTTAAGAAAAAGGTTTATTTTTGCATTTGTATGATAAGTTGTCTGAATAATTTATTTGTATGATCAGTGGGAAAGCAGAAGTGAATACTTAAAAACTGACATGACAAAAACATCTATTTAACCTACACAAACTAATTATTTAAAGCATTTTGATTGTTCCCATGTCATTTTAAAGCATTTGATCTGTGTAATTAATTTATTTTTAGTGGTAATGAGAAGAAATCTCCAGTCGTATGATTAACTTTTATACGAATTAAATGTTTTTTTAAATAATTAAACATGCAACGTCTTTTATTTTATTACTAGCTTTAGTCCTACTTTAGTCCGTGGAATTAACATTTCTATTACAGAAAGATACTAAACTAATTTAAATTATTCTATTTATTGGTGATAATAATCCCTCCAGTAGTTTTTGAGTTTCACAAAAACAAAGAGAATGCATCTTTATTTAATTGCTTTGGCATTAGATGAGTAATAATAACAATCATTTACAAATTAACTTTCTTAGCGGGAAATAGAAAAACATTTTGGTGACTTTTACGGAGGAGGTTCATATTCAGAAAATATAGATGGCGTTTTTTAATTACGACAGTCGCTCGTCTTTGCGAACATTCAGTTTGACAATGACAGTTCTTGTCACAACTCACAAACACCACGATTTTTGGACGATTTTTCTACAAAAATATTTTAATCAGAATGGGGGGTTAGAAAACTTTATAAATGATTGTAATCACAATAAATACAGACCGGTTAATACAAATAGGTGTGGCTGCAGCACGTTGCAATTGTAAAATGGACGAATACTTCAGCTCCACTTTGGACAAACTTGTAAGTTTGTTTTCTAATTTGATTTGTAATTTAATTACTAAAGAATTAAAGATATCTGCTTTTTTAGCTATTAATTAAAAGCTATATCTGTTTATAATGTATATTAATATTTATTATCTCATTTATACTACTTATTTAATTGATAAATCCAAAGCCAACATTTTATGATTCAAAAGATTTAAAGTACTTACTATAAAGTGCTAAGCTTATTCAGCTTTTCATTAAAAAAAAACTAACATTAGCTAGCAACGTCCTTAAAGCTCATTTTAAATGTAAACATTAAATTACAAGTTTATGAAAATTTCGTCGATCGTTCGTTCGTTTCAGCCAAAAGACGTCCACTGCTGGACAAAGGCCTCCCAAGGTTTTCCACAATGAACGGTCCTGCGCTGCCCGCATCCAGGCTCTTCCCGCATCCAGGCTCTTCCCGCGACCTTTACCAGATCGTCGGTCCACCTAGTAGGAGGCCTGCCCACGCTACGTCTTCCAGCCCGTGGTCGCCACTCGAGAACTTTCCTGCCCCAACGGCCATCGTCTCTACAAGCTATGAAAATTTATTTTTGCTTTTACAAAAAAAAAACATTTTAGTATTTTTAATCTGTTGTATGGTACCCATAGTACAAACTTAGGTACTAGTTATGCAGTTTTGAGTTGAGACTGGAGTGTGAAATGTAGTTTATGTACTAAAGAAAAATATTATTTACTTTTAAGTACCATACTCTGTCCACTACCAACCGGGCAATATGGAAATCATTGGGGGACACCTATGTTCAGCAGTGGACGTCCTGTGGCTGAAATGATGATGATACTCCAACTGTGCCTATAATATGGTAATTGGAACAAAAATACCAAAGCTTAAAACTTTGTCTGTTTTATTTAAAAACCTATTTAAAACATGCCTTTATAAAATTAAGAGTTTACCAAGAATAGGACCAATTTTACTTATCTACTTATTTGATTTATAATATAATTTTCTAAGAAATTAGTCATGGTCATCTAGGCCATTGTTACTTGCTTGATAACACTACATTGTACTTTGTAGGTATAAGTACTAGTATTATATTATCTGTGGTATAAGTAACTCTTATCAGATTATTGTAAATTATAAATAACTAGAGCAAATTATACAAGGTGTATTACAAGTATTTTTAACCGACTTCAAAAAAGGAGGAGGTTATTTAGCATTCCCAGTTGCCCTTGCCCCACCAGTATCATCCCCATGGGGGGCCATTCATTTACGGAAGACTATTTTCGTTAGTTTTTGACCCCCTCCCCCCTACTATAAGAAAAAATTAGAATAGTCCGCCCAGTGTTTCATATTTATTACGTAATCATCTAAAAAGGGGTCTCCAAACTTTGAAGTCTTGGAGCCATAGTATTTTTTTCGGTATGTTGCAAGGGCCATAACAATTTTAATTTTCTGCCCACCTATGCAAAAATAGGTGACGACTACTACACAAGCGGGGAATTCCCGGGAGGCGCAGTGCGGGTGGAGCGGGTCCTTTACCATGGAAATAGAAATCGTTTACCTATAGAATCCGGGCAAAACTTGGCAAACTTTTTCAAAGTATAATTTTAACTTTGCGCATTTTTGTGATCTTACGTAAGAACTATCGAGACTCCCTCCCACCCCCATGTAAGAAAAATTAGACCCCCTTCAAAGCTGCACTGCTTCAATTTGCCCTGCCCATTGCCACTTCAGCTTGCTAATCCGTAATAATTATTATTATTTCAGAAATCGAACAACTATGGGGAATTAAGCATAATACTGGGCAACGAAAGCTGCGATCTAGATTCAGCGGTCAGTTCTTTAGTCTACGCCATATTTTTACATTGGCAATACCAACAAATAAAATGCAAAGGTACCTACCTAATTGTATTTTACACTAGCTTTTGCCCGCGGTGTCACCCGCGTGAAATTTAGTATGTCACAGATCGTCATAAATTATAGCCTATATGTTATTCTGGGTTATAAACAATAATATATTTTTATTTTATTTGAGTGTGCACAAAAATAAACAGAGACGAGGATATGTATAAAGACGACATTTTCGTCCCAATCATCAACGTTGATAGAGACGATTTTGGCTTGAAGACTGAAGTGGTGTACTTTTTCAATGAACATGGTATCACAGCTGAGAAGTTGGTGTTCAGGTAAGTGTTGCCATCATCATCATGCTGAACATAGGGCTCCCCCAATGCTTTCCATGTTGATCGATTGTTAGCGGCCTGCGTCCAGCTTCCAGGTTTCTTCTGCCAGTTTTTGGCTATACTTTCCTACAGCACATGTAAATGTACTTTCTGCTGACTTATTAACTTAATAATAGGCAATGGGCAGGGCACATAGCACGAAGAACTGACGACCGATGGAGCAGCGAGTTTCTGGAATGGTGGCCTTTTACCTAACGCACAACCTGACCCACAAGGTGACTAAAAGGTAGCAGGAAGGCGCTGGATGCAGGCCGCTACCAACCAGCAAATCTGGAGATCATTGGGGGAGGCCTATGTTCAGCAGTGGACGTCCTGTGGCTGTATGGGCGTACCCAGCTTCTGATTTAGGGGGTGTGGTCAAGTCATACCCAGCTTTTGGTTTAGGGGAGGGGTGTTTGAGATTTTTAGGTCAGATTGTTAATTTAGCTCCTCCAAAGCGATTTCCAGGAGGGGGCAGGGTATCTGCTCTTCTGGGTACGCCCATGTGTGGCTGAAATCACGATGACCATAACTTCTTTCAGAAACGACTTGGACCTTCAACAGCTGGTAACAACTAAAAAGGCCAAAGTGGTCTTAGTAGACCACCACACCTTGTCAAATAACGACAAGTTCCTCGCCCCCTTCGTCGTAGAAATTATAGACCATCGGCCCATAGACAAGTCGTCATGGGGCTACAAGGAGGACACGAGGAGCACCATAGAGACGGTTGGCTCTTGCTGTACGCTTATAGCCCAGAGGATTAAGGATTTAGCCGCTTTGGTGGCCAAAGATGTGGATTTTTTTAATGCCTACCCAGTATGCAGTGATATGTTGCACAGTGAGTTACCTTTTCATAAATTTTTAAGATTAATTAGAAAAAAATGTTTGAACGCGCTAATCTCAGGAGCTACTGGTCCGATTTGAAAAATTATATTCGTGTTGGATAGCCCATTTATCGAGGAAGGTTTTAAGCTTTAACATCACCCTAAAGCCAATTATAATACGGGTGGAGCAGTAAAGAAAAATGTTGCAAAAACGGGAAATGTAATTCAAACTATTTTCTACCGTACGTAGACGCGGGCACAGCTAAAGCCCGGTCTGTAAGCACGTAGAATATTGTTTAATGACCCCAAGCTACCCATCCTTATCGCTCGGGCGTAATTATTTTACGAGCGCGACAGCAACATAATTACTCGCGAGCGATAAGGATGGGTAGCTTGGGGTCATTGGACAAAATTCTACGTGCTCACGGACCAGGCTTTACAATGATGACGCTCGGATTGGTCGGGTCATGCTCCCCGCACCCCGCGCTTCCCTCGACCCCGCAAGTCCTCGTGGAAGAAACGAACTATAATAATATTATTTTCGTCATCAGGTACAATAATATTGGACACAGTGAACTTCTCCAAAGACCTCAATAAGGCCACACCACACGATGAGGACATCATACTCTTCTTAGAGACCCTGCTCAAGCCGAGCGACTATGAAACGGAGAGGTATGTCCCTTTTAATTTGAAATCCCTACTTCCCTATCTAAATATAACTCAAAGGTGACTGACTGACATAAGTAGTGATCTATCAACGCACAGCCCAAACCACTGGACGGATCGGGCTGAAATTTGGCATGCAGATAGATGTTATAACGGGTAAAACGGGATCCAAGCGTACGAAGTCGCGGGCGGCCAGGCAGCTAGTTAATATTATAAATGTGAAAGTAACTCTGTCGGTTATGCTTTCACTTTGTGCTAGAAGAAAGTCGAACCTTAACTTCGAACTCCTATGTTCTTCTGAATAATTTCGTTGCGGGTCCAATGACAGTTTAACTTTCCCCCGGGACAAACTTGACCTTCACAGGTTGGGTTATTGGCGGTCAAGCTGTAGATCCTGGCTACACAGAAGTTGGAGCGGAGTTATGAATATTAAGTTTGTAAGGTATTCACATAAAAGTAATGTGACACAATATATTGTTTAAAGTGGGTATCCACATTTCTGTTTGTCCAGTGCTCTCGCCAGTCGAATAATAAACGCAGTATAGAACGCACGACGGGTCTTTTATTTATCAGTGGCGAACGAGGACGGTAAAAAAAATATGGCGGTTAAGTTCGGTGAATTTAACATGGACACAGGAAACTGGACTTCATATTGTGAACGATTAGAAATGCATTTTGTGGCGAATGGCATCGCGGCGGGAAATAGATTGCCGACATTAATATCTATTATTGGTGAATCGGCATACGAATTGATG